TATTATGATAGCACAGTTTCTCAGGTGCCTCTTCATTTCACATCTCTGCATTTGAAACAATGCATGTTTATACGTCAAGATTCAATGTTCCAGTTAGAAATAAAACAAAGCCTAAGAAAATACTAATAACTCCTTTTCAAGAAAAAATCAAAAGTCTAGAATCACAAAAATAAGCTCACTAATTTTTTTTTAATCTTTGTTCTAAGATTAATGGAAGCCAAAAATAACCCTAGGGTGAGTATTTTTGAAAACTTAATGCAAGCCAGAAATACAGACAGGGTGAGGCATTGAAGGGAAGTGAAGGGAAGTGATGGACAGCACATCAGGCACTGGGGTCAAATAGGCTTGTTTGGGATCCTGGATATGCCTCTCCAAGTTGTGTGACCATTCTTTTTGGGGATTTACTTTACTTCTTTATCTTCTGTAAAATGGGGACAATAAAAAAGAGTGTTGTGGGGATAAAAATGAGAGAATGCAATAAAAGTGCTTAGTGCAATGCTTGATACATAGTAAGTTATCTATATATATGTTATTATTATTGTCAAGAACCATGCAGTCTATTTTTACTATTTAGGACAAAAAGAAAACATTCCTAAAAACAATTTTAAATGAAAAAAATTATTAATACCCTACAATACATGGATATTAATATTTTTTATATGTCTCATCTATTTTCTCAGGGAATTTCAAAGGTTTCCATTTTTAACAAGTAAGTCACTGTAAAAACAATATTGCAGTTAAGTAAAAAGAGATGATACAAGCAGGTCTTGAGTGAAAAGTGAAGAAAAAGAATATCCATATTTTTGGGTTAGGACAAGTGTAACTATGTCACCCATCTATTAATTACTTGTAGTTATATTTAATTTGTAGATAAAATTTTCACTGGCAATCTCACAGACAGTAAGACAGTGTTTATAAATCTAAGCTTCAAAAAGGGTAAGTATATTATGAAAAGTGAGTTCTTAAATGTTTCTAGTTACAGTTTAACTGGTTTAACTCTTCCAAGCAATTTGGCAAATTGGTCATCATCAAAAGCCATACAAATATAAATACCAATGGACCCAGGAATAGTCAGAATAGAGTTATGAATGAAGATAACTATATTCTTTTTTTCCCCTTCATTTTTTGGTAATAGCTATATTCATACACAATTCACATTTTATGTAATTCACCCATTTAAAATATACAATTTAATGTATATACAGAGTTGTGCAATCATCACCTCAAAAAAAGCTCTACACCCATTAGCTATCACTCCAAAATCCATCTCTGCCCATAGTCCTGAGCTACCACTAATCTACTTTCTGTTTCTACAGATTTGCCCACTCTGGACATTCATCATTTTACTAAGTGAAAGAAGTCACAAAAAGACCACATATTATAATACATATAAGTAGGGTTTTTTAATGCCAAATAATATTCCATCATATAGCCACATCACATTTGATTTATGTATTCATCAGTAGGTAGACATTTGTTGTTTTACCTTTTGGTTATTATGAATAATGCTATTATAAACATTTATGTAAAGTTTTTGAGTGGACAAGTTACATTGTTATTTTTATTGAATTTTTTAAAATTTTGTTTTAAGATTCATTTATTTATTTATTTATTTATTTATTTATTTATTTATTTATTTATACAAGCACTGGGTACAGTCAGAAGCACAGGAGGGTGAGAGAACTCACCAGAGCCAGAGCAGGGAACAGAGCAGGCAGAAGGACCGAAGTACACTGCTGAAGGGAGCAGCGGGCAGCAGGAGAAGTCTGCGCGCCATGTGGGACCCTCCTCCGGTGGCTTATGTAGAAGAACTGGGGTGCAGGCCAGAGCTGGGGGGAGAGAGGATTCACCAGAAACAGAGTGGGGAGCTGAACAGGCAGAGTTACTGAAATACACTGCTAAGAGGAGCAGCCAGCAAAACAGGAGAGATCTGTTGTGCCCTATGTGAGTTAGCTCCCTGGCCAGGGATTAAACTCAAAACCTTAGTTTTGACAGCATTCAGACTTAATCCCTAGGCCAACAGGGAGGCCCAAGCTGCATTATGTTTTGACTTTTCCTTCTATTTCCCAAGGAGAGGAATTGTATTGTTGTGACAGCAATGAAAATCAGAAACAATTTCATAGCCCAACAGTGATTGAGCTATATGCCAGAGGACCACGCAGAAACGCTAACTCTGTAAAGTATTATGCATAAAAACATTAGCTATGTAAAATGATGACCCCATGGTAGTGCTGAAAAAGGATACATGAAGTGAAAATAAGCAGGATACAACCCACTTAAAATCTTCTAGGGCTTCCCATTCATTCCCTACTCAGAGGCTCTTCCTCCTGCCTTCCCTTCTGTTGCCAACTTTCAGTTCTGTCTGGGCCCATCAAGCCGCCCTTCAGAGATAGTTAGACTGTCTTAGCTTCAAAGTCTTTGTTCATGTTGTTTCCTCTGTCTACATCACTCCCCGCTTTTTTGGTTTCATGTTTCTTCTTAAATGTCACTTCCTCAGAGAAACCCTTCTCTGATATCTCTAAGTAGGCTAGGGTTAAGCAGTAGCCTGCAATTTTCCATCTTAATGCTTTTGATACTGGTAATTATTTATTCAGTCAGTAATCAAATATCAAGAGTCTTTATCTATACAGACCCAGAGTGAAACAAAACATGCAAGATCCCTACCACCTGAAATTTGTATTCTAGGGGGGAGTGCAATGTACAAGTCAACAAATCGATGTGCAAGGTGATTTTAGATAGTGATAACTAGCTCAGTAGTTATCCTGTGAGTTTGGATTGTAAACTCCATAAAGCCAGGAGCTATCTGTCTGGGTTAATTTCAATTTGCCTCAAGTTTAGCACTGAGTCTGGCCGGCTAAGTAAACACAACATAATTTTTTTAATGGATATTAAAACAGGCATATAAAAGACAGAAAAGTAAAACACTATTTCGGTGAATGATTGAGCTTTTGCCACTTTCAGCACTTTCTGTAAATCTACATATTCCTTTTATAATTAAAACAATTAAAAGCAAAAAAATTACAAAAGGAAGAAGAAGCCCAAATGTAACTCATTTATACCTCAGCACATATTTAAGGACCTGTTAACAAACCCTCCTCTGAAAGACTCAGATACGTCGGTTCAGTGTATTTCGCGCATCACCAAGCCGATTCTGGGCTTGGAATAATTTAGCGTTTTAAAAGAGGCCTCAAAATACCCCCTCCCCAAAGGTGATTAAAGACATGATGCTCCGAATTTCCCGATTTCAGATGCGCTTTAGAGTTTTTCACCCACGACGTGGCAGCGCGGGGGACGGTGTGTAAATTTCATTTACACGTCTTGGTAAAAACAGTTTGGGAGATCAACAAAGAATGCAAGATCTTCACACAACAGATCACCACCCCCTTTCCAATAAATTATTCTACAAGCTCTAGAAACGAGCGAGTCGGGTAAAAGCAAGTAGAGCTCCAGCCCCGGCCGACGAGCATCACCACAGAGCGCCACCCCCTCAGCGGAGAGCGCCGCTTCTTTCTTCCCCCAGGCGCATGCGCAGCTCCCTCTCCGGGCTGTGCACGCCCCTGCCAGCGAGCCAAGTGGGCGCTTACGTCACCAGCGTCCGTGGAAGAATCCTTCCGCGCCTCCCCAGAAATGAGTCCACGCACCTATGGCTTTTCTAAACCCACAGAAAATGCCTTCCTTCCCTTCTTTCACCTCAGTGACAAAGAACTCCTCAGTCCGTGTCCAACGACCTTCGTTTTTTTGGCCGGACTCTGTACTTTCGCGGGACGGGGAAGACGGTTGAGGGAGGAGGGGGAGGGTGAGCAGCGCAGGCAGCGTTGTTTACAAGCAGTGAGCAGATCGCGGAATCGCTCCGCGAGGGCGGAGCCGAGGAGCCGGCACTTTTTTCTCTCCTCCCCTCCCTCCCCTGCCTTCCCCGCGAGCGGACGCGGCAGCGCCTCTGTCTCGCTTTTTCTTATTTTCCCCCCTTTCCCCCTTTTTTTTTTTCCTTTTTCCCCCTTCCCCCCTTTTCACCATTTCCCCTCGGAGGCACTTCCCCCGGGCAGGGGCAGAGCCGGCCTCACCCCCCGCCTCTCCCCGGCCCCCGCCGCCCTATGGCGAGAGGGAGCCCCCTCCCCACCCGGGCACTCGCGGCGGCGGTTGGAGGAGCGGGACCGGCGGTGGCGGCCTTAGGTCCGGGGGCGTCATGGAACTAATTCGCTGACCGGCCCAGTGGCCGCAGCCGTGCGTCCCACTCGAGCCCCAGCTCCCGCGCCCCCTGGCCCGGTTCCCCCTCTTCTCCCTCCTCAGTCGGCCCGGTCCTCGTCCCGCGCGCCCCGCCGCCGCGCGCTGAGGAAAATGAGGTGGTAACGGGCCCCCCGGATGACCCCGCGTCACCACTGTGAGGCCTACTGCTCTGCCGGGGAGGAGGAGGAGGAGGAGGAGGAAGAGGAGGAGAAGGTGAGGGGACGGGGGCGGGGGGCACGACGCGTCCTGGCTACCCGCGCTCGCGCGCCCCGGCTTCCAGCCCCCACATTCGTCGCCCCTCAGCCCCCCAACCCCCTCCCGTCCCGCCTACCCCGGCTGGGTGCGAGCGGGGGCTCCGGGGGCCGCGCGTCCCCGCAGAGGCCCGCCCCCCGCTTCCCCCGGCCAGAGGAAGCCTTCGGGACGTCCCCCTCGCCCGGTGCGCGCCGGCGCCCTCGGCTTCTGTCCTGTGTGAAAACTCTGCTGTGCGCCCTTCAGGGCCCGCTTTTTTCTTTTGTCAGTAACTTTTATTTTTTTTGTAGCTACAGCAAATTGTCTGCTCGGTGGAGTGTTGTTCCAGGCTGGTGAGCCTGTGTAATACACAAAGAAGGGGACACACCCCCGCCGTTCGACTTCAGGGCTCTTGCTGGAGCCCAGGGAAGATGGTTTTACTTTGCCAAGTGCAGGGACTGCCAGCGAGTGGGTGGGCCGACGGTGGTGCGGGAATTCGGGGGAAGGGAACGTTACCAGGGTTTGTGTGGGTGCAGGAAATTGTCGAGGCGGCCACTTTTTGAGTTGCGCCGAAAATTTGAAAAGAGCAGAAGGACCTCTACTGAGCGAGGGGTTCCATTGCAGATCATTTTGGCAGGCTTGGGGAACCGGCTAGCGAAAGAGTGGAAGGTATCTCTCGGGAGGTAGGATTGTAATGAGACTGAAGCTGTTTGAATGTCAAGCTAAAGTATTTAACTTTTATTCGGTCTGTGGGGAGCCACTCAATGTTTGAGCTGCAGAGTGTGACATTATGATATTAACGCCAACACTGAGGCTTAGCGTCTGGCAGACTGTTCTAATTGGTTTGCAACTCAGTGATTCCTGGCAAGGACTCGTTGAGGCAGGTAGTAGGAGCCTCGTTTTACAGGTGAGGAAAACTGAGGCGCCTTCAGATTAAGTAATTTTCCCCTTAGATGACTCAGCTAGAATGGGGGGGGTCCAGAAGGCTAACCAGAACAGTGCATGCTATGTAGTTTCTTCGAAAAATGAATTTGTTAAAAGAGGAACCATAGTTTACCTGCTTCTCATTTTTCCAGGTCGTTTGTGGCAGAAGAAATAGGAAGGAATGAACAAATAAGAAAAATTGGACAGAATTTAGGTTGGATAATCTGGGACCAGATGCATTTGAGATTCTACTAGAAGTCACTTCATACTGATGAAGAGCTGGATAGTAGCAGTTTAGCATGTGTTGGGGAGGTGCAGTAGAGGTGCGGTTACAGATAATTAAGTTTATGTGACAGCATAGATTGAGTACAAGCTGAGTGTGTACATGTTTCATTCTGATTGTACAATACTTTAAAATGGAAACTATGCACTTTTCTGTGCTTGTTTCTTCTTTAAAATGGGCTTAGTTAAATCAATTTTACAAGATTGTGTGAGCATTAGGTGAGTTTATGAAATTTATATATGAGCAATCCCTGGCTAAGTAATAAGCACACACTTTTTTACTTGTTAAATACTTAACAGTGGCAACCTATTACTATCATTTAGGCATCGTGCTGATCTTGGGAACTTGGGTTACTAGGCGGGTCTACACATAATTATCACAGAGCAATTAAATGCAATAGAATAATGTCCAAGTAAGATGTAGGAAGGCAGAGTGCTGTTCACAGACTAAATGACAAATGACAAATCTAAAATAAATCTAAGAGAGGATTATGAACTGAGGACATTTTAAGTTGAAGTATGTGGAAAGGCATGGAGATTGGGAAACAGCAAGCTGTTTTGGAACCTGTGGTTCCTTTTTAGACTAGCGGCATAGTCAAGGAGGTAATAATAGAACTTTTGCATGGTCATATTAATAAGTCCCATATTTCAGAATAGGTACTAAGATTATGAGAAGAGTAATTTCTTAATGACATTGTTACTGTTGTATATCTGACATGTGCAGCACTTTTTCTCAAAAGAGCATGAGACTCTGCAGATTTGTGATGTATGCTGTACAATGAGCATTTTATACACTAAGATATAAAGCTGTTTGATAGGTATAGAGAAAGAAGCTACTTCAAATGGGAAGAGGAATGTGAAACTGTCATAAAAGTTGAGAGTGTATGAAAAATTCTTTGTTTTACTTCTGAGAGATTTTTCTTTCTGAACCTTCAAAATTCTAGATATGACCAACAGTGGGCATAAAATAAAACTATAAAATTGTTATTTAAAATAGTAAAGCTATCATAAAATAGTAAAGCTATCTTGTAAGTGTGTGGAATCTAGTTCTTAGGAGTCATTATTCACTTGACTCATAATATTTTACACAGTAGAAAATGCATGTGTACTGTCAGTAATGGAAATAAAACTAAAGTCCGTGCTTTGTCTACTGTACTAATATTTTGAGTCTTATAAAAAGGAATTAAAAATTACCAATCATATAAACACTTCCATAAATTGTCTTTCTTTGCCTTTTCTACACATTTAATTTTACTTGTAAATAATTTCAGAAATCCTTTACCTGAATTCGCCTATTAATTTTTTAAAAAATATATTTTATTTCTTGGAGAACTGGGGTATAGGACAGGGGTTTAGGGAAATGAGAGGATTCACCAGACACAGAGTGGGGAGCAGAACGGGCAGATTTACTGAAATACAGTGCTAAGGGCAGCAGCTGGAGAGACAGGAGCCGTCTTCTGCGCCCTAGGTGGGTTAGCTCCCTGGCCATGGATTGAACTCAGACTTAACCCCTAGGCCATCAAGGAGGCCCACCTATTAATATTTTACTCCATTTGTTATTTCTCCTCCCTCACTCCACCCACGTGTATGTAAGTTGATGCATCATGACCTTTTACTCCTAAATCTTTGGGGGTGTATTTCCTAAGAATAGGGATAGTCTCTTAAAATCTTTAAAGTCATCAGCTTTAGTACATTTCCACATTGCTTGATTTACTTTACTGTCTGTATTCCCATTATGTCAGTTGATCTGGTAATGACCTTTATAGCATTTAATGCTTTGCAATACAGGATTCTGTCTAGATTCAGATACACCACTTTCGTTTTTCCGTAGCCTCATTTAGTCTTCCAGGTATGCCTCTGGATCTTTTCAACAAATCAAACTTTTGGTTTCATTGATTTTTCTATTTTATTCCATGAATTTTACTCCTTTTTTTTTTTTTTTTTTTTTTTTTTGTGGCTTGCTTTGTATATAGTTCTCTTTTTTCCAGTCTGTTTCTAGTGTGTCAAAGATAATACTGGTGTTTTAAGGTAGAAAGATAGGTTACTCATTTGAGATCTTTTTTAATGTAGGCATTTTCACATACTAATTTCCCGTAAGTTTGTTACACTGTCTCCTTTTTCATTCATCTCGAAGTATTTTCTAATTTCCCTTGTTACTTGTTTGACCCAGATTCCTTTATTTCAGAAAATTCTTAGGGCACCTAACTATTTGAAAGTCTTACTAAGTGTGTTAATTATAGGATATTGGAGAATAGGATTCCCTTGAACCTGAAATAATAATTCTTTGCTTGATACCATCCTGTATGTCGCCCCTAAAAGTAATTTTCAAAGAATTCATTGTAGGGGAAGAGTAATGACTGGAGACACCTAGCCATTGGGATGAGTTGAAAAGGTTCATCCTTGTGAACCACCCTGTTTGGTTTAGCTAATGGAAATAATAAGCAAGTATGATAAATTTACAAAAGTTTATAAATTACAGGTCAAAATTAGGCTTAGAAGCAGCTCAATCTCCATCCAGTAGGTGTTTCTTCTAAATATCTTGAGAGATGGTTATCAAGTTAATGCTCCATTTCTAAGGTTAATATTTATGTCTGCTTTAGAAAAGTTAAAGACACTTCTTCAGAGAGGAAATGCAGGTGGCCAACAGGTACATGAAAAAATGCTCAACATTTATAATCAGGGAAATGCAAATCAAAACCACAATGAGATATCACCTCACACCAGTAAGAAAGGCCCGTGTGTGTGTGTGTGTGTGTGTGTGTGTGTGTGTGTGTGTTTGTTTTAAAATTGATTTATTTATAAGAACTGGGGTACAGGCTAGAGGTGTGGGAGGTGAGAGGATTCACCAGAGGCAGAGCAGGGAATAGAACAGGCAGAGAGAACGAAGTACACTGCTGAGGGGAGCAGTGGGTGAATCAGGAGAGGTGTGCTACGCCATGTGGGTATCTCCCTGGCTGGGGATTGAACTTGCACTGCAGAAGCTACAGACAGCCTCACAGTGCTGCACTGAACCCCTTGTGCCACCAGGGAGGCCCAAGAATGGCTCATGTTTAAAAAACTGACAACAGCACTTGCTGGCGAGGATATGGAGAAAAAGGAACTCTCTTATATTGGTGGGAATGCACACTGGTCCAATCACTATGGAAAGCTTGTGTGGAGGATGCTCAAATTAGGAAAAATGGATCTATCATATGACCTAGCAATTCTACTCCTAAGAATCTACTCAAATGTCACAAAAACATTAATTTAAAAGGAAACTGGGCCTCCCTGGTGGTGCAAGGACTTAAGCACCACACTATGAAGCAATCAACAGCCTCTGCAGCACAAGTTCGATCCCCAGCCAGCCAGGGAGAAACCCACATGGCGCAGCAGACCTCTTCTGTCTCAACCGCTGTTCCCCTCAGCAGTGTATTTCAGTCAGTTTGCCTGTTCTGTTCCCCACTCTGTCTCTGGTGAGTCCTCTCGCCCCCCGCATCTCTGACCTGTACCCCAGCTCTTGTATGCATAAATGAATAAATCTTTTTTAAAAAAATGAAACTTGCACTTGTATGTTTTTTTGTAGCACTAATTACAATAGCTAAGATATGGAAACAGCCTAAATGCTCAAAAACAGATGAATCAAGAAAAGGTGGTGTATATACACAGTGGAATACTACTCAGCAGTCAAAAAAGATAAAATGTGCCATTTGCAGCAACATGGATGGACTTGGAAGGGATTATGTTTAGTGAAATAAGTCAGAAGGAAAAAGAAAAATAGTGGATGATATCACTAATAGGAGGAATATCGGGAAACTGAACAAAGATTCCAAAAAATAAGACAAAACTTAATAGTCAACTATAGATCTGAGGCTTAAAGTAGGGGAGAGGGAGGAAAAGGGATCAAAACGGGTGGGTAGAGCACAAGGGACCATGGTGATGGTTCACAGGTGATGTGGTGGTGGTAGGATATTTACAGGGATTACTCCTGAGAGGAGAAATCAAATACAGAAATGAAAAGCAATGTAAGAAAATTAAAAAATAAAAATATCTGCTTTAGTTGAAATTACAGTAAGTCTGCTCATCTAATTATGGAGAATCTGTAAGAATATCAAGGCAACAAAATTGGAATCTTAGAACATCTCAGTAGAATATAACAGTAGATGGAATTTAAGAGATGACTTTTTAACAAGAAAGAACACATTTAAAATCTTGAATAAGGATGTACCCAACCACCCCCCCCACCACCACCAAATGCATCAAAACACAGTGAAGGAGGACAGGTGGACCTTTGTCTGAGAGTGTACTTTAGATAGTCTTAAGCCATGTGAAGGCTTGGCGTGTGAAAAAAAGACAGACTTGGGTTGGTTTGTATTGTTTTTGGCCTTAAGGTTAGACACCAACTCTTGGTTGAGTCCCTGCTTTATTTGATACAGTGAATGATTAAAGGATGACATTGGTAGATGCAAAGGAATTTATAATTTAGTGGGGAGATACTGAAGGGCTGATTTCAGAAGGGAGAGCAATCATACCTGATTTGAGAATCAGGGATTCTTGAAAGAAACTGCTTTGCATAGGCCCCTCTGAATAGGGTTTTCATTCTTTGAGTTATCTATCTTTTTTCATCTTAGTATGAAAAATACTTCATGTTCAGAAAATTTAAATAAGCAAAAAGAAGAAAATCAATCCAGTTAACCTGAGGTACTCTGCGTAGGTTAATTAGCAAGTAATTGAAGTATCTGAAGGTGGTAGTAGCTGGAGTTTGAGAGGCATGGAAATTGAAGAAAGGTAGGGTTTTTTTTCCCCTCAAATGTAAATTTTTATCAAAAATTTGAACTTTTCATGTGTTTGCCTAGATTTTTTTTTAATTCCATGAATCTGTATACATACATAGTACAATAACATAGTTGAAAAGTGAATGGTATATGGTATATAATGAAAAAAAACAGCGTTTTCCTCATTATCCATGTTTTTTTTTTGAAGATTCATTTATGCATACAAGAACTTGGGTGTAGGCCAGAGGGACGGGGGTGAAAGGATTCACCAGAGACAGAGTGGGGAACAGAACAGGCGGATCTACTGAAATACACTGCTGAGGGGAGCAGTGGGCAAGAGGAGAGGTCTGCTGCACCATGTGAGTTATCTCCCTTGCCAGGGATTGAACTCTTGTTGCAGTGGTTGGCAATAGCTGTGGGTAGCTTGGTAGTACTGTGTCTTTAGCCCCTGTGCCACAAGGGAGGCCTATGATCTATAACTTTGTGATCAAGATGAGTGGCCCTTGCAAGATTTTTTAAAACTGTCAACAGTATTTGGGACATGTGCTTCTGAGAATTCCTAGAAGGAAAAAAAATCCATGACTTAAAAATTTTTGATACACTATAACATGTTTTGATCAGAGTCCAAAAATTCTATTGCTATCAATTATGTGACCCTGTTTTTATTTACTTTATGCTTTAAATTTAAAGTGAGAATGTTTTAGATAACTAATTATTGTAACATTTTTAATACATATTTTAAAGAGCTATAAAATTCAGTTACTACCTCATAATTCTTGCTTTGTTTTATTAATTGCATAATGAGTACCAACATTTATACAATGTTATATGTATTCTATAATTAAATAAATGGCATTATGTTATACTTGATTTTATAGGTTAGCGACATCAAGCTGGGTGGCAGGCAGATCCAAAGGATATCATGAAGTTTCCAGGGCTTTTGGAAAATCAGAGATTGTCTTTCCTATTGGAAAAGGCAATCTCTAGGGAAGCCCAGATGTGGAAGGTGAATGTGCCGAAAACACCTACAAATCAGGTAATGATTTCTCTTCACCCTAGACAGGTAACTTTTATTAGAAGTAGATGTAATGTTGCCATATATTTAGAACAGAATTTTGACATTACGTTGGAGACATGCATACTATTAAAGGATAATGCTCTTTTTATTTGAAAAACATCTCCCTCTTTCATTCTGAAACAAAACAAAACAAAATTGTTTTTGTTTGCTTGCTTTGTTGTTACCTTGGTTATAGCTTTAGGAGGATAGGTATTATAGTCTCTGTCCTTGTAGTCCAAAACTAACACTAGTAAGCCTTCTTTGTTTTTAGATAGGTAGTTAGCCGAGAGAGGCTGAACATACTCAAATTCTTCTATCATTTACTTTTTTTAAACAAATAAATGAAGTTTATCCACCCAAAAGCTTACGGTATAAGATGTCTTATACATCTTTTTATCCCTGGTACTTACTTAGCATTGTGCTTGGGATAAAGAATAATAGCCAAGAAATTTTTAATATATTTGGGTAAATAGCAAATGTTAAAATTTTTCATGTGTGGTTTCAGTTAACCTTTGTGCATAGGTTATTGAAATCTGTATGCTTTTTCTAATTCCAAACCACTGACATTTTTTCCCAGAGCTGAAGAAATATGTTTTGAATTTATGTACAGTTAGTTATTATTTAGCAAATTGAAGGTTAGTATACCTGAATGAATACTTTTTATGCTGGGGAACATTTACATGTGCTATCACATTGAATCTTTTGAAATTGGTAGTATTCTCAATTTGCTCATGATTTTAGCTAGTAAGTAATAGAAGTTTTAATTTGAACCTGAGATTATTTTCTCCCCATTAAACTTTTGTGTGTGAGTGTATTTGTATTTATGTATATTAGATTACTTGGGGACTCATTCATTAAGTGTTAAGTGACTGCTATACTCCAAGCATTATTTTAGGCACATGGGCCATATCACTATGGGAAAATTGAAATTCCTATCCTATGTTCTGGCATTCTAGTGAGCCTCAAAGCTTTATTACAGCTGTCTTTAGAATGATTACTTTCTTCCTTCTCCTGCGCTCTCTTTGACTCAGCATGTAACCAGCAATAATACACTTTTACAACATGGAATTTCAGGTGATATTCTATCAAGATTCTAGTATATTGCTATATTTTCTCTTAATCTGACCTTTTTCTCTAGGTGATTTAACAAATATTACTGAGGAAATAAGAGAGTATAGAACAGAAGAGTACAGAACAGTGTCAGAACTTTTAAGAAGAATTTACTTAAGGATTCACCCTTAGTGATCAAGTAGAAGTCGTATTTTATATATGTATTATATATTTTAATATGTATGTACACACACGCACGTGTGCGCGCGCGCTCACACACACACACACACACAGGAATATCTTGGTCTCCTGGGCATAGGATGTAAGATAGAGATGGAAAAGAGCTAAAACGTTTGAGCTACTTGCCATAGTAACCACTTAAATATACTAATGTATTTTAATTTTAGTTCCTTTATTTCCCTTTGCCAGTTCCAGGGACTGGCTTTTTTATTTCCTTTTCCATTATTAACTCTGATTTTCTCCTCTTTCATTCCTTACGGAAGTGAAAATCTTACCTCTAAATCAAACAAGTGTCTATACTACATCTTTTCTGTTCTTTTTTAAGTGCTAGTAAAACTAGAACAAATAGTTCTAAGCTTCCTTTTATGCTTATTTTCTCCATTTTCCTTCTCTTTCCTTCCTCTTCCTTTAACTAAACATTACTTCAAGATCATTCTCATTCTTTTCTAATTTGCATCTCTTACTCCCTTGTTAAGGACTATGGTGAGACAGGCATATTATATACCTATCACTTTCCTTTTGTGTTCTTATCATCTCGTTATGATGGCAGTATTATTTTCTGGTGATCTGACTGAGTTCCCTTGGGTTCTTTCCTTTTACTTTTCTTTACTAATGGCATGTAATAGGCTCACATTAAACATTTGTTAAGTGAATTTGGATTATCATCTTTTTGTAATTCATTTATGTTAGAAAAGTTCTTTTTATATAATAATAGTACTTTCAAGTACATGATAATTTTGTTATGAATTTGGGGGAAAATTAAAAACTATTCAGAGAATCTCAATTTATTTTGTTAAAGAGCTTTTGATAAACAAAGATAAAACCCTGCCTCCAATTATTTATATAATGTTGGTTTATATGAAACTGTAAGGAGACCTTCAAGGCCATTTAATTGTGTGGTTCCCACATAGAGACTCTTAAACTACTGGGCTACTAGGCCTATTTGACTCACCAGGAGGCTTGCTACAGAGATTCCAAGCCCCACCTATATCTGCTGGGCTTGTGATAACTGTGGAAACGAGTATTTTAACAAGCTTCATAGTTTTGCGAGAGGGAGACCTCAACTCCTAGATCTTACAGCCTAACTAGTTTAAACACATTTTTTTTTTTTTTATTTATAGAGGCATGTTTTTATTTATTTATTTGTTTGTTTGTTTGTTTTGTTTATACATGCACTGGGTACAGTCAGAAGCGCGGGAGGGCGAGAGAATTCACCAGAGCCAGAGCGGGGAGCAGAGCAGGCAGAAGGACCGAAGTACACTGCTGAGGGGAGCAGCGGGCGGCAGGAGAGGTCTGCGCGCCATGTGGGACCCTCCTCCGGTGGCCGGGGAGCAGCTGGGGATCGAACCGCTGCGCCGCAGAGGTCGCCGGCAGCTTTGCAACCCAGCGCTCAACCGCTGCGCCACCGGGGAGGCCCAGCCTAACTAGTTTACTTTGTCATATTGAACAATAATAATCTCTGCAGGACATAAATTCCTCCGTTCCTATATGCACCTAGAAACTTTAAAGTGCACAGTTTCAGTCCCATAAATTGCCTTAAATTTGTTCCTTTTTTGATTTCATGGAATTTTATCACTGAGTCTGAGTATCCATTTCTCTTCTATCCCACCTTGATTTTATTTGAAGTCTGAGGAACTTAATGATAGATTAACATTGACATCATTCCTATACCTGAGTAAAAATTCACAAGTTTGGAAAATTTGGTCTTTTACTTTCTTTGGAAATGCTACCCCCCTCCTCACTTTTTAGCTTTAAAGATAAAAGTTTAGTTACTGTCTCTTCTGAGACGCTTTACTCCCCCACTAATCAAGTGCCCTTCCAGTGTGCTCCTTAGCACACTGTGCATACCTCTGTTTATCAGTTTAATGACCTCTCACCAGGAGACTACATTTTAAAATTAAACAGGGAGTTTTTACTCATTGTATTCCTAGGATTTATCCTGATAGATACCTTTTGTTTATCAATATGAACTGAATTAAAATCTAGTCAGATGAATTATGTGTGTGATTAGTTGGTTTAGCCTGCACAAAGAAACTCTTTGTTGTGCCAAAGCTGAAAAGTGACAGAAAGAGGATTTGTAATAAAATAAGAGAAATTAACAAATGCAGTAGCAGATATTTTAATGAATACCAAGTCATGTATTTCTTATAACACTCAAGAAAACCAAAGAGAAAGAAATTCTAATGACATATTTATTTGAAGAGTTTCATTAAGATCTAGCCCCTCATGCTTTAATAACTGTTAATGCATCTCTCAGTAATACGGGATTGAGTAATCAGGAAAAAAAGGTTAAGCTATGGTGTCTATGCTTTTGAAGAAGTGAGTTAATTAACACATTTTTAAAGAGATTTACATCAAAAAATGGTTAGGATGAAAAAAACGGTTATGATGATAAAGACTGTATAGAGTTTGTATTAAACTTTCACTTATCTGGAACCTTCACTTACTGAAAATACTTTTTTCTACTAATCACAAATTCATTTCTTTGTAATTCCATAGCAGAACTAGTATTCATAAGGATCTGTTTCATTTATTACTGGTAGATTGTTACTACCTTTTTTTAAAATGGTGCTTTCAAACTCAAAAATGAAAGTATCTAAATTACTGCTTTAAAGTGTGCACGTCTAAAAATTAAGCCTATATGCAACTGTTAAAAAATATTTCAGAAGGTTAAAACAGTAATGTTTTATATTTTTGTAATCTCTCCAAATGGCAAATTAGTTCAGGTTAATCTCCCTTTCAGTGTTCATCATCTTTAAATGTGTGATTTGCCTGTTGTCCCTGGTGTCTTTCATTTCTGTTGATTTTAGTTTTGTTTTTTAATGGATTCTCATTCTTTTATCATAGTTTAATTACGTTCCCTAAGGTGGTTTAATGGATGTTTGCTGCCTTTGAAGAAATTTATCATGTTTTCTTAATTTCAAGAATTAGAAAATTTCATTCCAAAATTTCTTTCAGTTGATTATGTTTCCTAAATTTTAAAATGTTAAATTCCATGAATACCTCATCTTAATGGTGGATATATGGTGAGCTGACATAGTGAAGATTTTAAAATTTTACTTATTAAAAAAAATTTTTTAAATTGTGGTAACATTGTTTTACAATGCTGTGTGTGATTTAGGGGAGTAGATTTAGTAAAGATCTTTTAAAAGAGTATTGATTTTAAATGCTGTAACTAGTACATAAAAGTTTTGTCTTCATTTCCTTTGATAGATTTTAGAATAAACAAATATTTTTTAGCATATAAATACATTCTGTACCATTTGCTAACCTTATTAATTTCTTTTTTTTCTTATAAATTTCTAAACACTCTTAATGATGACTTGAAACTTTACTTGTTCTCCTTTATATTTGTTTTATTTTTTAATCACTCCCTTATAGACTGTTTCTCCATCCCAGAGAGATGAAGTGATTCAGTGGCTGGCCAAACTCAAGTACCAATTCAACCTTTACCCAGAAACATTTGCTCTGGCCAGCAGTCTTTTGGACAGGTTTTTAGCAACTGTAAAGGTAAATATTTTAGGATATACTTAACATACAGCCACTTATTTGAGGGTCTATGTGCTAAACTAGGGGCTCTACTGGCATATTCTATAAAGTGGAAAGGAGTGAAAAATCTTCCTGGAGGAGACACATGTACCTATAAGAAGACATACTGTGTTCTGCTTTTGCTTTAAGTTTTCAGATACATTTCTAATTGACTTCTGTAATTTTCTCTTTACCACTGGTATTTGTAACCTAGCCTGTGAAATTTGATCTCATGGTTTCAGTACAAACCATATAACTTTGACAAAATGTTTAGTACTAGATCTTTTAATACATGGGTGTACTAGTCATGGACAGTAAATCAGACTAGAAAAGTATAAACCTGTTGCATGCACATTTTCTCTGGCACTATTGAATATTCATGTTGTGTGGTTTTCTGAACAATATATAACTTCTGTTCGGAGTATTACAAGATGAACTAAACTGTCATAAAATAATTGTGGTATATTTTTGTTGAATGACAGCATACTAATACATGAATAGGTTTTATATTGTCCCTATTAGGGACAATATAAATTGTTGTTTATTTTCTGTGGAATCAGTCATAGTAGGTCTACTACAGATTTAAAAACAGCAAGTCAGAATGCATTTAACCACAAGGCATGAAAAAGTAGAAAAACAATTCATTTGTTATTTGTATGCCTAAGAAATATGTAAGCTGGAGGAACTATTAATTCAGTGCTGAGGGCTCTTTATTATTAGTTGTAAAAAATAAGTCAGAGCATTACAGAATAGAAGATTTGGATAACCACCCAGTTAAGTTTTGTATTTCAAACTTGTACTCTTACAGAGACTTAAAGAACTAACTTTTAATGATATTAATTGCCTGAAATCTGAGTTATATATCTACTTTTATCTTAACATCAGTTCCCCCTCTTCCTGTTAATGTCAATTACTCTCACTAAGACTTGGTTAAGCTTTATTGAAATAATCTAAAATGTATTCATAGTTTAAATAAAAGCACTTACAGCAGACTATAAAAGGGCTATATCAGTGAATGGAGGCTCAATCCTAGCTGTGCAGAAAAAATTGCTATGAATTTCTTTACAGTATGGATTCTGAGTTATATCCCTGACTTACTGAATCTAAATCTCACTTAGATGAGATCTGGATGTCTATTTAAAGAAGCAAATACAGATGATTCTGATATAAAATCACACATTTACTGTTGGGATTCTTTTTAACTACTCAATTTATTATTGGTATCCTTAATTTTCGGGGTTGCATTGCTTACTCAAGGTTGTTAACTACTGGGCTTTTTTCTTGTCATAAACTCTGATTATCTCAGGGATATGAGTTTGATATGTTGTATACATGGGGGAGGGAAATAAAGTATTCTACAAAACTGTCTTAGCCACAAGATTGGACTTCACTTTCTAGATTCTTGTGTTGTGTCCCTTAACCTCTGAAGCTTTTTTATCTGTAAAATGAATACATTACAGACAGGAATAATATTGAAGTTCTTTCTAGCCCATAATGTCCTGATTAAAATAAATGATTATCTTAAAATTAATGGTATTGAATCAACTTTTATTTCTCATTTAGGCAGACAATTAGAAGATTTCTAGGCAGTGTGCCACTTATACTAGGACAAAGATTATTAACATGTTTATTAACTGATAAGTTAATTAATCCCATACTCTGGTCATCGAAGCTCCCACATTTACGTGGGAATGCAATATTTAAGATATATGTTGAACTAGGGTTTATTGTTTTATTTGTGTTATTTAGTTAACTTCTGTGTCTTTCAGTATAATTGAGCTAAATTATTCTATTATTTAAAACTGGATTTTGATGCTAGATTGGCAAATTGTGCCATTAAAGTAGAAAGTGGGCCTCCCTTCTTATAAAGGTAAGGAAAACAGACAAATTCAAGCCCCTGCCTATGTTGTCAAATACAAGAAAGGTATTTTTCCTCCCACTAATTGACTTTATGGTATTTAGGAACTTTTTGTTCTTTTCATAGAATTTGAATATTTAATTTTTGTGTATGTGAACACAATAATTAGAAAGTTTCTACACATGAACTAGCATCCTATACTTTTTTGAAGCATTTAAAATATATTAAGAGTCTTCTTTTTTATATTCTCAACTACTACACCTAGTTTTAAAAATACAAACACATACAAATATATTTTTAATTTGGGGAATTTTATTCAATAAGTTGTCTTCTAAAATCTTTTCTCTGCTAGATAGAAATAGTTTGGGCTGGCTTTGGTTGAATTTCTGGCAATGGAATGATCTTAGTATTTCCATACGGTCAGAGTTGTAATGTTAGAAGCTTTGATTTTAGAATGCAATTGGTGGGTGTCATTAATTCCATAGAATGGTGTGCATACTTGTCTCTTCTGCATATCTAGCTTTTAAAAATAAACTCTCTTTTTGAAGAATCACTGAAGTTGCTTTTTCCCTCTTCAAAATTTTAGGCCCACCCAAAATACTTGAGTTGTATTGCAATCAGCTGTTTTTTCTTAGCTGCCAAGACTGTTGAGGAGGATGAGGTAAATATTTTCCTTTAAAGACTAGTTATATCTCTTTTTTGAAATTTTCTCTCCATTTATTAACTTGCTTTCTGTTTCCCAAAAATTGAAAATGAGTTAATTTTTTTCTGTCTTTTCCTCCCTGCCCTGTTCCCCTTCACTTTGAATAGAGAATTCCAGTACTGAAGGTGTTGGCAAGAGACAGTTTCTGTGGATGTTCTTCATCTGAAATTCTGAGGATGGAGAGAATTATCCTGGATAAATTGAATTGGGATCTTCATACAGCCACACCATTGGATTTTCTCCACATTGTAAATATATCTAAGTCTTCTAGTTTCTCACTTGAATATGTAGTTCTTTTTCAGTAACTTGAAAAGTAGATTGCCCATTCATTAGTTTCGTTATGATTTTTAGGAAATGTAAAATTGTTGAAATTTAGCCAAAGATCAGAAATTAGAATATATGTAAAAATCACTAAAGCTAAACTTTCAGACTTAGAAATTGAGTAATACCTAAGATTATATCAGTTTCTGTACATAATTTACTTTAACATTTAAGAAAACTAGAGTAATATTCTTGTTATTTTTCAGTTCCATGCCATTGCAGTTTCAACTAGACCTCAGTTACTTTTTAGTTTGCCCAAACTGAGCCCATCTCAGCATTTGGCAGTCCTTACCAAGCAACTCCTTCACTGTATGGCCTGTAACCAACTTCTGCAGTTCAAAGGATCCATGCTCGCTCTGGCCATGGTTAGTTTGGAAATGGAGAAACTTATTCCTGATTGGCTTCCTCTTACAATTGAATTGCTTCAGAAAGCACAGGTAAGTGTCAGTCTAATTAAATAGTGTTCATTTTATTTATTTTTATTTATCTATGCATAGAGGCCAGAGGTCCCAGGGTAGGGTGGTGGTGGTGAGATGATTCACCAGAGACAGAATGGGGAGCAGAACAGGTGGATCCATCGAAATACATTGCTGTGAGGAGCAGCGGGCAAGACAGGAGAGGTCTGCTGTGCCATGTGGGTTAGCTCCCTGGCTGGGGATTGAACTGGTGTTGCAGTAGCTGGTGATAGCTTGATGTTGCTGAGACTTTAACCCCTTTGCCACCAAGGAGGCCCCAATAGTATTCATTTTAAGTTTTGTCTTTTATTGGGATACATACAGTTACCAGATGGCTATGACATTTAGATGGAAAAATTGCTTTTGAGAAAAGCATATAATTTATTGTTGGCTGGAAAGTGAAGTATTTGTGCCAAACTTCAGCAAATAGAAGCTATCTTTTCGAAAGAGGTTTTGTCCTGCTAATTCCTGTTATTGCCTAAGATTAGTCTGTAACTCACAACTGCAAATTCCTATAAAATATATTAAGTTTTATCAACCAACTATATAAAGTGTGAGGGTTTTATGGAGAAAATTCCCATTCAAATGGAAAAGTAATAATGGTACTGTATGTCAGCAGTCACTGGGAGTATCCTTATTGGTTCTATTCATGTCATCAGACATCTTAAAGGTTTAGATCTGCTGTAAACTATTACTCTGCCAATTGAGTTGATGAAAGACTTAAGGACCTACTTACCCTTTATAAATCCCTATTATTATTTAGCACTAGTTATTCTGACTTGTTTCAATGTATTTTATTTAGAGAAGACTTAAATTCTGAGCTTAAAAACATAAAATGAAATAATTTTAATAGCTACTATTATTGAATAAAACATATAAAATACTGTAAAAGAAAACAAGAATAAAACTTGAATTTGGTGTTTTGTTACGATAATTTTAACTGATGATCTTATCTATCTATGTGAGTTGTTAAAGTAAGCGGACATATAAGAAGTATCTCAGTACTGCTTCTCAGCTTTTGAGAATTTCAGGCCCTAGTTTGTGAGTAAAGAAGGGCTGAGTCTTCATTAAAACAGTGATGAGCAGAGCAGTATATTAGCAGTATATTAACCATCTGTCTTTGCTCTTTCTTCCTCTTTTTGGTGTGACTCAGTGTGTTCTATATCCCTGGAACATAATATGTTAGTATAGCACAGACTATTTCTCCTTTACGAGGGAGGTATTTTCTTTTAATAGTATATCTTAGATTGAAGTAATAGAGAAGTATTTCTTTCCATTGTAATACATACTATAATGAAAATAAATCCTAGGAGATATTTTGTGAGAATTTTTAGAAGCTGTCATAAACCATCATGTAAGTGAAAAGTGCAGCACAGAAAATTCATTTTGCCTACCCAGAGTATTGGAAAGTGAAGTTGAGTATTGCTCATTAACATTAGACTATGGAAATGGAACACTAATAGGAAAGCTATTACTACCATTTTTTTTTTAATTAGAACAAATGACATATCTCTTGATTCCTCCTGCTCTGCGTATTCCCAAGTTGACACAGAGGATATTTTCCCTATAAAGTGTTACTGTCATAGAGAAGGACAGATTTTGAAGCATAAATAACCAGAGTGTTGTAAATAGCATGTGTATTCTGTAACTTTGAAGCTCTTTTTTATGAATACTGGAGAATTTGCTTATTCTTTTTCGTAAGTCTTCTGTTGCTACGGTGTTCAGTGAATTTGAATAACTCTTAGAAATCATTTTGTTTAACTCCTTTATTTTATAGCTCTAATCCACATTTTATAGCTGTGATGTGGGGAACTTGGGGCTTTCTCAGAGCCACATAAGACAACTTAGCCACAAAGAAGACTAAGCCAGTAACTTTCCCAAACCACACAGACCATAAAGGTTCTAGTCCAGTGGTTTTCAGATTATTTTTTTTTTTAAAGAACTGGAATCCTTTCCTCTCCTGAAACAAAATTTTGTACACACACACTCCCAAAATACTATGTAATATGTTGGGTTCAGAGTCCTACTCAAAGTGATCTTCCACAAGCTGTTTGTACATAGTTTTAAAAGCATTACTCCATTCTCTTTATGTATATAGGTGCATTCCACATTTATTGAGAAATCTGTGAGCTAGGCACTGGGGACATAGTGGGTTATTTTTTTGTTTTGTTTTGTTTTAAATATGTCTTTACCCAGTGTATATTATTTGAATTGTTAGGGGAAAGAGAGTTGGAAACAAGGTCCCAAAATGTTAAGAGACTTTGGAACGTGGTCTTAGTAGTTTCCAAAAATCAATTTGCACTGGTGACCAATCCTTATGATCCAGACCTGAGTGGGTCCTGATTGTTCAAGACTGTTCTGTCATTGCAAACTTCACTTGTGTTGAGGTAGGAATATGAGGTCTGATATATTTGTAATTACAAGCGTGACAAGGCTATAGTAATAACAGATATTCCGCCTGGATTTCTGGTTTTAGTTTAGAAAATTCTTGCATAAAATTGGTGAGATCAAACCAGAATTACTTTCTGACATGTGTCCTAGGGTCCTGGCAAGAAATGACTGCCAGAGAGGTCTGTCATAATCTGGTGCTGTAGTGGGCCATTGTCACTAGATCTGCCTATGTTCTCCCTGGATTTGAGACAAAGTATAACAAGTGTTCCATGGTTTGAAGGCAAGCTTCTGTCTCACCTGCCTAGTCCCTCTTTACTCCCCTAACCCCCTTAGCTCTTGTGCTGTTGTTGGTCACTGTTCTGGGATGGCTAAACCATTTTTTTTTTTCTTACCCCCTTCTCTCATCACTACTTCTATAGCTGTACTCAAGTCTTCTTCCCTGGTAATGTTACCCACCTTTATAATATTATTTCATATTATTCTGCCCTTCTTTCCCACTAGTAATCTTTTTGAATGTCTGCCTTACAAACTTAATGCTATTTGCCCCACCTTTCTTGGTGAGCTTAATTATAGTTGTTTTTCTAGTAAGACATACCTAGAAATGGTTACCATATTGAAATTTGGGAATATCGTCACAGAACATAACAAATGTTCTCTTGACACCCTGCAGTTACAATGAATTCATATTACGCCCATTTGTTTGTTTGTTTGTTTGTTTGTTTATATTTTAAGAGTTTCCATTGAAGGACTTATGTCTAAAGTTGTGGTAATTCCAATGTATGTACTGGCTTTGTTTCCTGCATTGAATTTCAACAAAGGTCAAGTTACTTCGTTTTCTTAGAACAAATTAATGTTGTAGTAGATTAGAAGGAATTTATTTTGGACAAAGGACTTGGGTGGAAATACAGTTTGAATAGACGGTATTGATCTGAATAATCTCCAGTATTCTTTGTAGCTCTGTCATTTTTTGACAGTCTTTTACCTCCAAAATACAACTTCCTTTTAACTTGGTTTGCTCACATAGAAAAGATTACATTAACAACCTGAAATAACCTGTTCGTTTTCTTTTCCCCCCAAGATTCTGCTGTGGTGTTTATTCCCAGTGATGAAGGCATTAGAATATATTTCAATACTCTTACTTTTCTGGGCCACTGAGTATCATTTACTTAGCTGAAGAATAGTTCCTTAAACTAGGTACTTTTCAGAAATAATTTTTACACTGTGGCTTTTTTCACTTCCCAATTTGTCTTTGACTTCTGTTACCTCTTTTGTAGATTTCTTGAAGAATTGGCTAGGATAGCAGTTGCTTTAAACAACCTCTCTGTGCTTTGTTCCACTGTTTTCAGCTTGGCTTATCCTAGGGCATATGCTAAAGCCTAACCTACAGCTGTGAGCCTGATCGTTGGGGACTGTCTTAAATATTATGTGACTTTTTTCTTTTAAGGAAGGAAAAGAAATTCTAATATTAATAGTATCTTACCCATGGAATGTTATCTAGTATCTTTCAAACTAGAAAAAAAATCAGTGAACAAAATAGTAGATATTAAAAAATATCATTTTCATATATTGCTTCTATTTGAGGCATTGTTATGTTTATAGTACATGGTAAGTAGCAGCTTTTCATGTTTGTCTTTACTGATACTTTTGCTGGGTAACTGGTAACATATTTAGAGCTAAAATTTTGTGATCAAATATATTCTTGAGGAACAGTTATTTTCCATTTTTTCCCTCTAGTATTGCAAATAGTCATTGCTGTATATTATAGGTTATATAGGGGTGAATAAGATTTGGTTTATAAAATACACAAGGCTGGAAAGTGATCCTTGATAGTTAAATAGTCAAGGTAGACTTTCTGGAGGTGGTAGCTGGTACCCAGACTACCATAATCCTTGATAGTTAAATAGTCAAGGTAGACTTCCTGGAGGTGGTAGCTGGTGCACAGACTACCATTTTATTAGGTGAAAACAGGATGAGCAAGGGCAAAGTTAGGGCAAGATATTTGCACAATAGAGAGCAGGCCTGTTTAGCAGGAAGGTAGAGTGCAAATTGGGATAAGCTAGGAAATAAGGCTGGAAAGGAAGGTTGGGGTAGATTGTGGCGAGCTTTATTGATAGAAAACTAAGGGATTAGCTTATTTCTGGTAGGCACTGGGGTGCAACTAAAGGAATCTAAATAAAGGAAAAATACATATTGCTGGAGGAAGATTATTTTTGATTAGAGCTAATTACCAGGAGAGTAGGGCAGAGGGACTAAATAGATTCTTACCTGTAGTATAGGTAAGATTTTTGAAAGCCTTTAGGCATTGTACTACAAACATAGGGAATAAAAATGAACAATACAGTGGTATCGTGTAGTCCGTAAAGGAAAGGTTAAGTGGTTAAATGGATTATTCTTACACAATACTATAAGGTGGATATAGATGACCCTGGAATTTGGGTATGTAGGAGGCAGGGTGACTTCAGAAAGATTGATATCTGGATGTCTTGTAGAGTATGAAGAAATTAGAAAAGCCTCTAAGTTAAACATTTCTTCCTAGTGTTGTCAGACCTGCATTTTCTATAAAAACAACTTGTCAAAAGTGCTCATTTACTGTTACAACAATTCAAATATTTTATTTTTAAAATTTCTAGCCAGATAGCCCTCCCTAAGTCTCATTTAAATTTTTCCTTGCCTTGGCTTCTTCCTTAAATTCTTTTTATTTATTTGTTTGTTTGTTTGTTTATACAAGAACCAGGGTACAGGCCAGATGCTTAGGAGGGTGAGAGGATTCACCAGAGACAGAGAGGGGAACAGAACAGGCAGACTGATGAAATACACTGCTGAGGGGAGCAGCGGGCGTGACAGGAGAGGTCTGCCGCACCATGTGGGACTCTCGCCTGCCGGCCGGGATCAAACTAACACTGCAAAGGCTGTGGACAGCCTCATAGTGTGGTGCTCAACCACCTGCGCCACCAGGGGAGGCCCATTCCTTAAATTCTTAATGAATTTTTCTGTCTTCACTTAAGAGGTTAGAAGAGGCAGAGAGTGAAGTGGCCTTCTAAATAGGGAGAGTAGACTAAACAAAGCAAATGCTCAATATAGAGCAGTGAACAAAGAGTCTGCTTTCATGAAGATAGCCAGCATTTAATTGCAAATGTAGAATTCAAGTTCCAAAAAGACTTAAATTAGAAATACTGATGTGGAGGACGTTATTCCTAAGATAAGGAGAGTAGGCTGGATAGAGTTTTAGGTAGAATATGTGAGGAGAGAAAAGGAAGCTGGGAGGGATGGGGCAGCAGGGTGGGGAGGGGGGACCCACAGGGAAGAAAAGTGACTGGCAAAGATGGTAAAGCAGCCTGTGTTAATTAATCAACTTTGTGTCTCCCCTCTTCCCTCCCCCCCAGATGGAAAGCTCCCAGTTGATCCACTGTCGGGAGCTTGTGGCACATCATCTTTCTACTCTGCAGTCTTCCCTGCCTCTAAATTCCGTTTATGTCTACCGTCCCCTCAAGCACACCCTGGTGACCTGTGACAAAGGAGTGTTCAGATTACATCACTCCTCTGTCTCAGGCCCAGATTTCTCCAAGGACAACAGCAAGCCAGAAGTGCCAGTCAGAGGTACAGCAGCCTTCTACCATCATCTCCCAGCTACCAGTGGGTACAAGCATACCTCTGCTAAACGTAAAGTAGAGGAAATGGAAGTGGATGACTTCTATGATGGAATCAAACGGCTCTATAATGAAGATAATGCTTCAGAAAGTGTGGGATCTGTGTGTGGCACTGATTTATCAAGGCAAGAGGGACATGCTTCCCCTTGTCCACCTTTGCAGCCTGTTTCTGTCATGTAGCTTTAAGTGTTAGCTTCACGTACAAAGGTAGACTACTCTGGAAATGGGAATGTGGAGGACCAGCAAAGGCTGTATAATAGGTATATATACCCTATCAGGCCAATGTGAAGTGAGCCAGAAAAAAAAAACAAAAACATTTATTTGTGTGACTAATTATAATTCAACATTATTTAAACACTTAAAAGACCAAAAAGAGTGTAAAATTTAAAAGATCTAAAAATTGTTTAAGAAGTAAATTTCTTCGTAGTATTTGTCAGTTCCACCCTTTTCTCTGCTAAAACATAATGTAGATTGCCCGTGTCAAAAATTCAATGTTTTTTAAAAAGTTTCCAAAATTCATAGCTAGCAAACCCTGTTCCTCAGCATCCTGATTTTATTTTCCTCTTGCTTTTGCTTGCTTCATTGAAAACTTAATGAATTTTTATGCATGTTGATCTATAATATATATAATAGCCTGACTTCCACTGATTAGGAAACCCTCAAAATTTTTTAGCAATTTAGTGAGCAAATTATTTCAGTGTGACATCCATGATTCAAATTCAAATTTACCTTGAAAAGGTATTTTGAAATTGCCCCATATAAATCAGAGGTGGTAAATAGAAAAAGAACTCACTACCACGTTGATTTTTATGTCTTGTCTCATTTCAGTTTCTAGAGTTTGGGAATAAAATTGTGTTTTTGTTTATCTTAAAGCTTAAAAGTGGCATGTAATTAGGACACTCTTAGATTTGTTGAAAGCATTTTATGACATTTGTATAAAAGAATTTGTGATAAAGTTAATATATCCAGGTGCTCACCAAAGAAATAAGTAACAACTAAAATTAGTTTCTGTTTTATATTTGGTGACTGGTCAGTTTTCACTCATTCATAATCATTAGGAGAAACTGTCCAGAAGGTGGGGCAGCTCCATGATTTGGATCTATAACATGTAATAACTGAATTCAGTACCCTAGTTTTATGTTAAGCTATTAGAATTTCCTTGGTAAAAATTACTTCCCCTGCCTCCCCAGCCTACCTGTATTTCTCTCAATGACTTCTGGACCCTGAGCTCCCTGTACAGTCTGAGGAAGGCATTGCAGTCAGAACCATGTACTGATGATAAAAAAGCCTCTGGTAGCAATAAAAAGTTGTCCTTGATAATTTGTCTAATTTTTCTGCTTGTTAAGATGTTCAAGTTCCTCATTGCTTAGGTGCCATTTCACTACAGAAACAATAAAAATACCAAGAATATGCTTACAGAAAAGGAACATGAAGATAAAGGAATTTAAATGTGACTAAGGAAATGTAGAATTTATCCTTTACATTATTTTTTCACCGGTGGATTCTGTACCTTCCAAACATTTCTTATTTTAATGGAATTGTTTGTGAGGGCAGGCTTGGATCTTTTGGGGTTGGCTACCCACTTTTTTATGACCTTACAATCCAGTCAGAGGGGAACCTTTTACCCACATGCAAATACAAGGGAGTAGGAGGGAAGAAAAAAAGATGAACTGTTTTGGGGGTGACGATAGAGATTGGCTTTGTAGACACAAAACCACACACATCCTAATCTTCATCTATTCTGTTTTTACATATATTTGTGATTTCTATAAAATAAATGACCACCCCCCCAACAGATGAACATTTTTATGAAAAAAGCAGTGATAAAATTGATCAGAGTATTTCATTTGTAGTTCAGTAGTTACAGCATGGTCAAAGTTAAAGGACAGCAAAATTAGGTGATCTTCAGATTTTGTAATCTTTAGCAAAAATTGGTCAGTTTGTTTGGAACAGTTTTATTTTCATGGGAAACTGAATTGGGATAGTTTGGCTACTAGCTCTCATGCTTCAAAGCTTATTTTAACCCATAGAGACTAAACGCTCCTGAGCACCCGTTCATTTACACCTCCCTGCACCTGTCCCAGCAAGCTGAGCTACCGTACTCTCCTGGAGAACCTTGTTTCTGTGGACCTGAACTCATGGATTAAGAAAAAGCACAATATTCTTGAACAGCATAACACTTCATTAACATTTTTGTTAAGATAGATCCTGTTTTATTGACACTATCCCATTAGCCTTGTTACTTGTCTCAAATCTTGACACCACAAACTGCTTTCTTCCAAGATTTGCATACTTGACGTTTATGGATCTCTTCTGGTGCCCCCAAGTGAAGTGCCTTTGCAAAGGCAAGGGAACAAGCTGGGATAAAACCTTCTAATCTTCCATTCAGCAGAAAAAGTGAAAGTGCGTGCTCTAGTTCTTAGCCATCAGGCTAGGAGTAGAAGATGGAAAAATCACTGCAAGACTGGCATGAAGTTGGTTAACTTTGAAAAGCGATTTTTTTTTTTTTTTTGCAGATGTCATATTAGTGAGAAGGAAGTGCTCCCAAATGCCAATAAGAAGATAAAACTGATTTGTCAGAACTTTTCCTGACATTCTTGAAGCTAGATGGCTCTTCACTGAAACTGATGAGAATTAGTCCGTATTCCTGCACTGTTGCATTAATTGGCGCTTACTCCCCATGAAGTGTTTGTCTCCTGTGTTAGAACCAATCACTTAGCATGTACTCTCTGAACTCTATATACAAGTGTCACTTAACTCATCCTGAAATTACTGAAACAAAGTTCTGTTTGAGCAATACTGCCCAAAGCAGCACAGTGGCCTTTCATTTTAGAAAGAGATTCAGCCACTGATGCCCAGCCAGCATGGTAGAGAGCTTGTTATTTCCTTTAAGTACATTTTTAATTGGTAAATGAAGATGTACTAATTTGTTCTCAAAACCATCCTGGGAGATAAGCATCTCTATATTAGCAAACTGAAGATTAGAGTTGCCTAGTGCTCGAGAGCTAAGAATTTTTAACAGGGTTTAGCTTGGACTCAAACCTTTACCCTTTATGAAGTTTTGTCTAACATATAATGGCTATTTCTAAAGCTGCCCCAATCCTTCAAATTATCCTCTAAACTTAACAGAAATGTGTCTTCTGCCCTTTGTTAAATGATTTGAGCTTTGGCCACTAGATGGTGCATGTAGGAAGAGTAAAGCCTCTTTTTTTGAGTTTGTGGGAGAAGCTGAATTGTTTGGGCTTACCGTACGGAAACGAACAGTCGAACACTCCTCTGTTGTTGCTGAACACTTAAACATCATTTGCAGTTACAAGTTCACATCACTTAAGGCACAGCAGACCTGTGCAGGCGGGACAGGGAAAAGGCACTGGCTCTGCCAGGGTAAGAGGCAGGTGTGCCTGGATATGTTGCAGACCAAAAACTGAATCTAGAACCAGTTACACAAATTAAAAATGCTAATTTTGTGAGTTGTCTGGTTCTGCAAAATAATATAAACACAGTAAGACTTGAAAATAGCTAAGTCCCAAAGCCTTGTTCCTTTGAGTTGGAGTCAACAAAAAATGAAGTGCAGGCTCATGTAGAAAAGCTGGCATCAAGAAATTGAAATTGAAAGCTTTCAACTGTTGATGTGCTCAGTGATTTTTGTGATGTACTGATATGTAAAACTCATGTTTAGGGCAGAGAGGTCACTCCCTGTGCCATTTCTTCATTACTGCAAAGGTAAACTAAGAAGTATGTCTTAACAAGCATGTCTTACCAGGTAAATTTGAGGGAAACTCACAACTAATTTAGTTCTAGGAATTCTAGGTTAAGAATGAAATGAGAACTATTCCCTTTGATCCTTCGTTCAGATCAAAGGACAGAAAGCCAGAATTGTTGACGTTACTGTTAGAAAATTTGGGAAATAAAAAAATTTTTAGATTTTTTTTTTTTTCCTGAGGCTCAGTAATTTCTCAGAAACACCTAATTTTGTTAGGTCACTTCAGAATGATGGGCAGCCTTAAGCCACCAATCACTGAAAGGAGGTTGGTCCAGGCAGGGTGGGGTACCCCTTTGCTTCTCAGAGTACAATCAATCTTTAGCAACTTAGCATAGGAAGGACTTACCTTTGACTCCAAAAATCTGCTATGCTTATAAGTTATACAGTGACAAGTGCAAATCATAGTGTGTGGGGTGTGAAAAAAGGGGCAAGGGACCAATTTTGTTAGAGGCTCTGCCACCTCTGATCTAGGTGCCGTAACATTGAAAGTTTCCACAGTGGATTGAAGGGCCGGTCAGCTGGCGGCGTGGCAGGTAACTGAAGTAGATGCGAAATTTCATTTGCACCTCACATGTTACGCCGCTGACAAAAGGTCTCATTTATATACAACTACAAGTTAGGAGTAAAACCGGAAGGCGGGAAAGGGAGGGAGTGTATACCTGGCTTACAATGAAGTCTTTTCAAAGTAACAGTCAATCTCTTTACCAGCAGGAGATGCCAGCTGTTTACTAGAGACTGATGCAAACCAGATGGTATCAGTCACAGGACTAAATACCATGGTCTTAAGAATTCCAGTACAAGGATCTTCAAAGTGAACCACACTGCCATTACTGTCAGTCTCCAGGGCGGGAAGATGAGAGTCTTCTGCAAACCAAAAGGTTCTGTGTAGAAATGTGTCGTGTAAATACAATGAAAACTCTGGTTAGTTTCAGAGAACCAAAACTGTTTACCCTAATCTGGGCCAAATACAGGCAAAAACAAATAAGGAAATTTCATTTGCTAGGTACGGTTAAGGGGTAGAAAAATTGGGCTACGTATATTTGGAAGATGACCTAATTTTATCTGGCCCGCTCAGTGCATACTGGGTAAGAAGATCAGTTCCCTCCTGTGATGTGTTATGTCTACATGCTTGTAGCAATAAGGCTGAGCTGTATTTGAAGTCAAGTAATTTTTTGAAGAATAATGAAAAATAAAAAGCCTCGTTACCGAGTAGAAATAGGTTGAGATGGTTCAATTCTTGCCTTTTTTTTTTTTTCCCAGTGTAGCTTGGGCAAGTAAGTAATTATAATTATGGATAATTATCCCTTGTTTCTATCTCTTAGTTGGTCAGTCAGAACTTGAGAACCTACCAGTTTTTTCAACACTTGAGAAGAACCACCTGAAATAAAAAGCCAATCACTTGACCAGTGGTGTCCATGACCTGCTTCCCTCATACCTGATGGGGGACAAACTTCCTTCCCATGCCCTCCCGTTAAGATGATTACTATAATACTTCCTCTAACTTGGGGACTAAGAAGGATAATAAGGGAATAGCAATAATAGACTACACATTTCTCTAAAAAAAAAAAAAAAACCCACAAAACTACCTAATTTGATTTTCAAATATTGTACCCCAAATAGCTTTACAACCTTAAGCAGAATTTGCTTTTAAAATGAGTAACAAGGTATTTAAGGTTGATATAGACCACCCCCGTGAAGGTGGTGACCATATTTTAAAGTTGATATGAAAAATAAGGAGTCTAAGAATAAACTAAGCCCATTATTTACTTAGTGATTACAGTGGTGTCACACAGGTAGGATGTTTGCATTTAACTTACAGAACTGATATGCCACGCTCTGGCGTCAGTCGGTACTCACTTGCCACTAGCAGCTTTCTACCCATGGATTGGTGTAGCATGGAGGGGAAGGGCATATTTGGGCATATTTGAATTGTTTAATGGCTAAAATGAATCTGGCTTTATTAATTTACTAGTAGTGTCTAAACAAAGCTGCTTGCCAGCCTGCTCACTGAATTGCTCAGGTGAATCAACCAGCAGAGACCTTTGCTTCATCATTTCACCTTCCAATAGAGGCACAAGCTACCATTCTTGGAGGGGGAACATTCCCAAGGCTCTTGACAAATGTGACTCATGCCATCAACAGTATTCTTATAATCTGCTTACTGTGGGGACATGAAGATGGAAATAATCAAAGACTTGTGAAAAGTAATGAAATTATAAGTTAACTTAAAAGTATGGAATTACAAGTATGCATGTTCATACTCTACAAGTCACCCAGAGGTGCTTAGCCCTGATTCTAGCCCAACCCAAATGGGTCAACATTAGAAATCACTGACTTCCCTGGCAGGTAGGGATGTGTGTGTGTGTGTGTGTGTGTGTACATGGGTGTATTTTAAGTGATTTGCATGAATGACAGGTTTTTTGTGGACAGTGGAGAAAGCCATCTGATAACTTGGAAGACAATGTGAATCAGAAACATTGTTGTCTGGGAAAAGATACATACTTGTTTGGGGTTTCCTGTGGTCCAGGACACAGGAAAACTCTGAACACAAGGTAAGAAGCAGAGTTTTACAAGAATAAAAAATTAGGGATGGGCCCAAAAGTTATTTTAAGATACCTTTAAATATAAATTGAGTTCCAAAGGCAGAAAAGTCATCTACGCAACACTGGCATATTTTAAACATAACTAAAATTTGTATGTCAACCCACAGTGATAGCAAAGGGGTTTTCTGTTGTATCTGAGATGAGGAGAGCATCTTAAACAGATTTCTGTGACATAAGCCTTGCTTAAATTTCTTCTTGAACTTACAACTGGCATAATTTTGATGCCAAAACTAAATTTGAATAACCAATACATAAACAACTGGCTAACTGGAATTTTTTTTTTTCCAAAACAACTTATATAGAGGAATGCAGGTAACAGAAAAAGCGTCAAATAAAACAACAATGGTTCCTGAATTTAAAGGAAGGATGCCCACTTCTCTCTCTCAAGAGGCAGATGGTCAGCTGAAAAATAAAAACATTGTATCAATAGAACACTCCAAATAAAAAAAAATTGTAGCCATCTCTTCATGCAATATCAAATACTAAGGGAAAAAATGCAAAAAACTCCAAAGCAACCCAAAAAACTAACAAAAGGGATAAGATGTTGCCCACATCTTATGACCTGATTGATGGTTGAGGGTTTCCAATAGGGCTGTTCAGAATGTCACTCATGGGACAGAGAAGTCTGGAGTTAACATGAGGTCAAGTTTGTGGACCGTGGAGGTGATGGCCACCTCAGATTAGGGTACACACTGTCTTCAGTCCGTGAACACTTGGATCAGCAGCTTCAAGAACACTGACAGCTATGCAAGAAGATCCCAACGCATGGCTACCTTGGGTCTTGGCCCAGGTTCTGTTTCACTCAATTTCCTTGGTATATTAAGTATTACTCTTTTGGGTAGTGATAGTCACTTTAGTAACCACTGTGGGCAGTGGTTTGTAAACAGACATCGACAAATACAAACAGCAGTGCAGTATTTGGCCCAGACTTTAAAAGAAAAGGAGGCGATGGTGGAAATGAGGTAACTCTTCCCCAACACGTGTGAACAGACAGCTCCTGCTCTTCTAATGCGCTATGTCCATTAGGAGAGAGTAGGGCTTGTCAACAGGATGGTTACATAAAGAAGAAGCTACAGAAGAGAAAAAAGAAAGGTTCAGATTCAAACTTGATTCTTAAAGGCTTAAAGGGGGGCAAGGACTCCTCTACAACCCACTGTGAAAGAACAGTAGCATGTCAGTTAAAAGATGGCTTCCCGGAGGCGCCCAGGGGAGCAGAGGCAGCAGCAGCAGCAGCAGCAGCAGCAGCTTTGGCACCAGAAGCCAAGAAGAGGATGCCTCAGCTGGTCCAAGCAGGGGGTGCCAGGGAATGCTTATCAGGTAAAAGGGCAGGGGAGTTGGGGGAAGAACGGGTGGCAGAGAAGGTATACAAAATACAGGGTGCCACATGGCATGTATCTTGGAGAAGCTGGTGCTGCGGTGATGGCAGCGTTCGAAGTTCACCAGACAATGCCGGAAAAGCACGAGGCTCTTTTATCCCTATTTCTTTTATCCAATATATTAAGCATGTGTACATAGGCATATCAAGCAGTGACTAAAAAGAATTCACAAAAGGGCACACAATGTTTGGGTAAAAATATATTTTCCCCCACTTTATGTTTTGGCACTAGTGATATATGCATAGATTACCTGTTCACCACTCTCCTACCTTAACAGACACCAAATATCCGAGCATGTTTGCTACATGATTACTTTCATACTTGAGAAAATGTTACGCTTCACATCAATACAATTATTTTAGTTTTTAAAGACAAGTGTCTAACATGCAGCTTACATATATGACAATTCTGCTTTAACACTGAAAGTAGATTACACAACAGTTTTAGAAACACATTGGTTATTTTCAAACAGCAAAATGACAATGAACTATATAACTACAGTTTAAGGCATATCAGCATATTTTAAAATTAAGAAATAGACAAAGTTCTAATGCTGTTCACAGCTTAATTTCAATTTATTTCAAAAACTTCCTTCATACCTACATACAATCTAAACTTTGTAGGTCAAAATTTCTACCGAAGAGTCATCACATATGTGTCCTGTCAATGGAACCAAGAATTCCGGAAGCTGAGACTTGACAATTTCAGACACTGGCAAATGGCAAAGCAAAGAGATCTGAATGGATGGTTTTGGTGGGACCACACAGAGACAGTATGACGGGCTGGTAACAGATGAAACACTTGATTCAACCATTTTTGTATGCGAAATACATGGATATATCAAGAAAGTGAAGAAACCAATTCTGTTCATTTGAGTTGCACAAGATACGAAGAATAAGTGTTATTGCTGGTGAGATTACAAAGTAGAAAAGGAAGATAAGTAAGAAACCTGTGCCCAGAGCTCTGTTAAATGTCCCCCCTGGTTGAGATGCCCTTTCTGGTCAAAACCTTGGCAAATAAAGAGAGTAAGCCGGGCAAAGTCTCTGAACTATCAATAAATTCTCGTAAGTGCTTTTTTCATCACATCCTACCAAACATACAACTGGTTACATGTATCTAAATTTCAGAAGAAGCAAAAGGTGGTTATATGGTTGAATAAAAGATGTGGGGAGAGGCTAGCTAGGCTATTTAACCAAAAAAAAAAAAAAAGAAAGAAAAAAAAAAGGGTGCTCACTGCAAGCAGCAGTTAGCAGGAGGGAGAGACCAACACTGTTAAAACCAAGATCACCAAAAATGTAAGCAGTCATAAAGACAGACTGCCATGAAACTTTTTCCTCTTGATTTCTGCATTGGGAGGTATGTCTTATTCTAGTTTTATTCACATCATCAGAACTAAGGGGTCCCCTAATATATCCATGATGCTATGTAGAACACAGATCAGGATTAGCAATTTCTGATTTCCTAAATTGATATCAGGGAAAACCTGAATGTGTTTCTTGTAACAAAGAAAAAGGTATTAATGTGGCCATTTTAAATATATTTTTTAAACAAATATTATCTCATTTGTTTCTCTAATTTTAAAAAGTCAGGAAGTTCTCAAAGGTCTTTTACTCTCATACTTACATGCAAAGGCGAAAGCACATCCAATTAGATTTGAGGATATCACTTATTCCGTGCAGAGCCAAGGACTACTGTGAAAAAAGGCATAGATACAGAAAGAAAAGAGAAAAGCAGCAATAACAAACAAAACAGGGCTAGGGAGCAGTGGTAGAAAAAAGTTCAGAAGCACACATTAAGGAAAAAAAACCTTTCATATGTTTCTTTGACTTTTTATTCCCTGACTCTCCGTATCATGTATTTTCCTATGAAAAATGGAATGGGAAAAATGAACCCAATCAATAATCTTGGAATCAAAAAGTCAGTTGGATGTCTTTCACCACTCCATTCGCTTTCAAAAGGTTTTAGTGATGCATCTAAAATGTTAATTTTAGGAATGCATTTTTAGAAATTAAAAGTGTATGTTCTGTTATAAGGCACAAAAAATGCTCACGTAAGCAGTGGTTGGAACAAGCACATCACACAAGCACTCAAGCTCTCGCCTGCTGCACAGGGTGTGAGCAAACCCAGCCATGCTGAGCGCAGCATGCCGCCGCCACCTGGCCGCTCCACAGTGAGCTTCAGGCTAAAATCATTAAAAAAAAAAGCAAAAACAGAAACATTGGACCAGCAGCTCCTAAACTGTCTCTATGCCACCATTGCTGCTTCTAGTTTGCAGTTTCTATCCCCGCTTAGTTTGGGCTTCAATGAAACTGATTTCCTTACCTTGTCTAATTAAGCCTTAATCAGTTCATGAAAGACTCTCCCTTCTACAATTCCCCGAAGAGTGTGGTTGAGGATGAGGAGAAGGGACAAAAAAAAATCTTTGTGTAAACTAGAGGTTATTGATTGAAAACAGGGGTGTGTGTGTCAGGAGTGGGCAGTGTCTTCTATCCTTTCACTTCATGGATGACTCGTAAAGGCCAGGAGGAAAATGCAGAGGGGAAATACTGGCTACGTGAGAAATGTTTTCTTTCAAGTAAGAAAAAGACCATAGAGAAGGCCGGAAGGATTTTGTTAGTAGGGGTGGGGAAGTCAGGCAGATGAAAGAGTAAGCACCAGAAAGGACAGCACAGAAAGGAGCCTCGCTCGGCCTTTTCCCACACCAACTTGGCCTGGAGACTGTGTCCCGGCCCCGAGGTTCGTCCTGATCCTCCCTGTCAGAGCAGCGGGCCTCGGACATCAAGAACAGGTAGAGCTAGTCATGGCGCGAGGAAAGGTGAGGATCAATCCTGCGAGACAACTGCATCTGAAAGGCCAGCTCTTCTATTTTCTTCTTCCCTTTATTGCCAAATAGCAAATAGAGATGATGCAAGGAAGTTGGATGTGAAGTTGAAGTCCTACTTTCCTGACTCGTGGGGTTTATGCTACAATCCTTTCCATTTCTCTCTGAAATTGACAAGGTCCCCTCAAATGTGTGTGACAGGTGATATACATATTTTCTGTTTAAGTATTTTTGGATATTTTCTTGTTATTATGGAAAAATGTGATTAGAATCACTGATTTCCTGGAGTTGGTCATGAGACCCTCCTCTCAGGTCACTGTGAGCAAAATGATTGCAATAATGAAAGATTGATGTTTATGAGTAGTAAGTGGATTGTAGAAAGCCTCTCAACGTTGGTGGAAGATTCTTCTACCAAACAACGTTATGTGACCCAAACTTCGCGATCTCTGTCTGTGAGGATCAAGACTACACTGACCAAAGTGAACATAATCATAGTTTTTTCATGAGAGTTCCACTTGGCCAGGACTTGAAAGACAGGAGTTCAGACACATTTTTAAAGCTCTAAGAGAGGCTGGTCAATCTGAACTGACACATAGCCTAGGCCAAGTGTTACTAACTAAAACGAAAAATCCACTTGAGTATAAAAGTCCCATGATGCTACCCACTGTTCTACCTACATACACAGCTACCTCGGTTTGCGTAGGTGCGGAGCAGAGACAGAGTGAGTTCAAGGCTTATGCCATCTTGGAAATGAGTAATCAAGAAAAGCAAGTTGTTGTCATGGCTACTCAGGTTTATAGTTCAGCTGCTGGGGTGGTGAGAAGTTTCCTGTCAGACACACATGTAGCAATTTCCCCTCCTTCCCTTGGTTCAAAGCAACATACAAGTCACAGGCATGCTTCCCCACCGCCACAGTGAACAGGCATAAAAGGCAAATCATTTACTTTCCAGAAACAGAGTCCAGCTGCACATAGCTTTTGCTGTTACTCCCTTGTTCTATCATTTTCCGCAACCCAACGACATCCAGCGAAATGAGTTAATAGTTATTGGTGTTTGGGGGAGGGTAAAAAAATAAAATAAAACAAAAGGACACAAATGGCAGAGATACATATTACTGCAAAAGCAGGTGAATGCGGGACCATCCTTGGCTTGCCAGGCTTTATGTGAAGCTTGCACTGCAAGTTAAAAAACAAAACAAAAAAGTTAGAAATAATAATAAATAAAAAAGAAAGGAAAATTAGGAGCGCCAGCACCAGCATTTGGTGATGGTGAATGCTCATGCAATGATTATGGAACAGACAGAAATTAAAACCAAAAATTTGGGTAAGCTATTCTACATGACAAGCAAAAGCAAAATTTTAATACTGAATTAAAGAACACATGGTTAGTTTCCATTTGCATGTAATTTAGAATTCACAAGTGACTTCTTGAAACCACTACAAGTTCTACGGAAGGAGATACTGTTTAATTTTTGTTTTCTCAAATAATATAAAACCATTAGCTAGCAGATTTGGGTATCAAATCAGCACTGGATAGGAGCTTCATCTTCCATTTCTGAGCTGCTGGAGTCAGAGAATAAATATACAATAAATGTCACTGTACAACTGATGTGGGGACTAGAATATCATGGATGGAGGACATGCTATTAATCTAGTTGGGAAGAAAAAAAAAAAAGACAGTCATTATATAGTTACAGCTACAGCAATGCCAGGAGCTTCCCCCTCTTTTCGGTACAAAGCAACACCAACTTCCAGATCACATGGCTAATTTTAGGCAAGTCCAAAACATGCAACATCATTCCTTAGCAAGAATAAAAATAATTTTTTTTGAAGATGAGTGGATGATTGTGTAAACTGTAGTTATCAGATGCCAGGTAGAGTTTTAAAATAATAGATTTTAAAACTTTCTTTTGGAATGGATGCATCCTAACCAGCAAATGTCTGCTGGCAACTGTGTGAAGTTTTCAAAAAAGATGAACACAGTACACTGAACAACTTACCCACGGGCAGTCCCACCACTGTGGTGCAGCCGCAAACAAGGGAAGTGACTTGGTGGCCAGGGCTGGCAGGAGGTGGGGTTCAGCTAATGGCAGTGCCAGGGTTAGTGCTACTTTGTCTGTAATCTTAGGAAATGTTAGATGCTCTCATGCTACTATTAAGTCAAGGAGACGTATAAAGCCTTACCTATGTTAAAAAGGGAGCGTGTCATTAGAATAGAAAAAAGAGAATTTAAAACTATTAGAAAAACTAAATGAAGCTCTTAGATGGACTGATAGCTGGTAAGTAAATAAGCATCTCTCCTTTTACTTTCTCTCTAGAACAAAGCCAGCTTTAAGTGGCACGTACCGCCACTCCAGCATCTCCTGCAGCTCCAGGAGGAGGAAATTGTACCATTTATTTTCAAAGTGCTGCTCGGTTACCCTGGTTACTGTCTTTCTGTGGTCCTCGCTAACCAAAACTCTCCACTGGTGCTGGCAAGAGGAGTGATTTTTTTTTTTTTTTTTTTTTTTTTTTGGTTTTCATACTTCAGGACTTCAAATGGCAGCTGCTTTCACTGTTCAAATGGGAGAATGTGGAAAAGGGTAAGAACCTAGAAGTTACAGAAACAGATGCCAGGGTCAGGCACAAAACCTGGTGATTGCTGGCCACCACATTAAGTCCAATTCCATTAATACATGAAAATGCTTAAATAAGGCAAAAATTAAATTCATATATATATATATATATATATATATATATATATATATACACACACTTCCTATAAACCTGAAAAGCATTATGCATTGCTAAGGCCCAAGGTTGGGAAGAAAATAATCTAAAATGTTCAAAAGGACAAAAAGGACAGGACAACCTCCCTACACTGAGAAGATTGGTATTAGATGAACTTTTTAAAATGGAGGCACAATATGATCAGCTCTTGGAATCCTTATTGCTTAAAGGCACATCCAGTGTACATGTAATAACCTTGGAACATTGCTGGTCTTTAAAAACATTTTCAGTTTTAAAACATGTACCTTTATGTACGTTAGTGCTTCAGGGTAAGAAAAACTTGACTTTGGGTTTCCTAAGCTATGAGTCAGCAATTTTTTCTGTTTCACTCATGCTGATAGATGAAGAAACACACACTATTTTTGTCTTGGGGTAGTGTGGATGAACAAGGGTATGATGCTAAATGGCTTTCATTTTGTTGTCACTGAAGTCACTGCAATCTCTGCGCCTCCGCACGGGGAATGTCACCAGTAGCTACCAGCGTTCACCCAACACACACGGTTATCAGGCATTTACTTAATCTAGATTATAATCTAGGAAACTGTTACTCTCAGAAATAATCCAGCAGAACTAAACTGTGGGCCCTTGGAGGCCCTTGGTCACTTGGGTCTATACCAGCTCTATTTAAATCACACCTTGCCTACATCGTCACGTCCTTCGTCATGCTGGGGAGACTTGTCTGCTCTCACACTCTCTTGACACATCATGTTCTGCAGTCTCAGAGCTTGAAAACCTCCAAGTTTGTAAAATATGGTTTCAAACTCTGTCCAGGCATGACCGTAGCAGTGCATTTTGATCTCTCCCAAGGTCAGTGTAGTAAGAGCCCTCAGGCAGTCGGCCCGATCCCCGAGACTGTGCGACATCAGCTCTGTGTTCACATCCCTGTGACAGACCTTAACTATTGTGCAGAATCAATCCTATCTACTCTATTTTTTTAAATTTATTTTTTAAAAAGATTTATTTATTTATGCATACAAGAACTGGGGTACAGGCCAGAGGTGTGGAGGGTGAGAGGACTCACCAGAGACAGAGCAGGGAGCAGAACAGGAAGAATAACTGAAATACACTGCTGAGGGGAGCAGCGGGCGAGTCAGGAGAGGTCTGCTGCGCCACGTGGGTTGCTCCCTGGCCAGCCGGGGATTGAATTCTTGCTGCAGAGGTTGCTGATTGCTTCATCATACTGTGCTTAACCCCTTGTGCCACCGGGGAGGCCCTTATCTACCCTATTTTTTAAGAATGGAATTTTGCCAGCTCACCTACCAACATTTTTGTTGTTACTTAGATGTCCACTTCTCCCCTAGAACCTAACATCTAGGGATGAAGAGCAAAAAGCCGACAACACATTCTGACAACACATTCTGCCTTACAGTTGCAGTGAGAGAATTGCATGCCAAATGGACAAAGGAGGGCACTCCCCATGGGCTCTCCACTGGCCACCACAAAGCTTCCCTGAAAGGATATCCTACTGACCACTGTCAAGTCAATAATAGCGACTGTCATAAAACTGCACCCTAGTCTTGAATGTTATTCAACATAGAGCTTCAGATCCCAGAAGAATCTCCGGGAGTTGGGCAGCTATTGGAGTTATCATAGGAAGTGACTGACTCAAGAGCAGAATCTGACCCTTTGGCACATTAAGACAAGGCCATATTTTAAAATGTTTTATGTATGCTTATAAGTTTGGCTTGAGGGTTGGTGGGGATAACTTAGCCGGATGGCATTTGAAGCTATTTCACAGTAAAATCATCATGTTGAATTTAGAGGAAAACTATGGCCACTAGTAGTAGCGCTTCCAAATCTTTCATTTTAGAACAAGACTTTCAATGACTGGCTTATTGAGCCTTACAACACAGAGTAGAAAAATAATTTTTAACAATTATAACTTTAGAATGCTATTTCTTAGGAGCTGTGAGGATTGTCTCCAAGGATAGTGATGAGAAATACACTTTCAGGAGTCCTAGTGTTGGTGCAGATGATGCTACTGGAGACAGGTTTCTCCAGTCCTGTTTGCTTGATTGTATGTCAAGTTTATAAATTAATGTTTGTGTACCCTTTAGAAATACTTAAAAACCTTTATCGTCTTCCCTGCACTGTAGAGAAAATACTTGCTTTTATCGTTGTGGTAAATCAACAGTTTCCAGTCTGCACATTGGACAAGTAGAGACATGCAAGAGGAATAAGTTGTTAGAGGCCCCAGTGTGGGGGGTGACACCTGCTTACTTTTTCTTATCCTTGTCTTTCTTGGTTTGCTGGGCCCCAGACTGCTGGGCCTGGGACTGTAGTAGCTGTGCTGCTGCTTTCTTCTTCTGGAAATTGTTCACCTCCTCCTCCAGTTCCTTCTTCTTGTCTTCCACTTTCTTCTTCTCTTCTTGGTGTGTCCGCTTTAGGAGGTCAAATTTCTCATGGAGCTGGAGAGAAAAATTCGAACAGACTTGTGAAGGGAAGGAAAAGTCTACTGATGGAAGATTATCTGGATGCGTCCAAGAGCAGACACGCATCATGTTGCTGCCTGAACTTTGATTACAGGAGGGAAGCACAATCTGGAATATGGTGGAGGAGGCCCTGGCAGCCCTATACACTGTTGAGTTTTTTTTTTTAAAGATTTATTTATGCATACAAGAACTGGGGTACAGGCCAGAGATGTGGTGGGGTGAGAGGAGTCACTAGAGACAGAGTGGGGAACAGAACAGGCAGATTGACTACTCAGCAGATTGAAATACTGCTGAGGGGAGCAGCAGGCAAATCAGGAGAGGTCTGCTGCACCATGTGGGTAGCTCCCTGGCTGGGGATTGAACTCGTGCTGCAGAGGCTGCGGATAGCTTCATAGTGCTGCATCTTAACTCCTTGTGCCACCAGGGAGGCTCTACACTGTTGAGATTTTGACCACCGGGCACTAATAGCAATCTTGTACACCTTCTCTGATAATAAAATACGTATTCATTGGGAAAAGCATAAAAAATATGTTACAATTACCCATGATCCTAAAAAGAAATTTTTAGATAAAAATTGTCATTTATTAGTGGCAAAAGTTGTCCTTTACTTCTGGTCCTATTCAAAATGTACAATACATATTTACTTAGAGACGTATATATATATACACAGTTACTATATCTCTCGCTCACTATCTAAACAATAAGTTATTTAAATAATAATATGTTGAGAAGTTTTTGGCTCTTAAAAAGTTGAATTAAGAAGGGTCTCCCTGGTGACACTAGGGGTTAAAATGCAACCTATGAAGCTATCACAGCCACTGCAGCATGAGTTCGATCCCCAGCCGATCAGGGAGCTACCCACATGGTGCAGCAGACCTCTCCTGACTCGCCCGCTGCTCCCCTCAGCAGTGTATTTCAGTCATTCTTCCTGTTCCGTGCCCCACCTTGTCTCTGGTGACTCCTCTCATCCCCTCACCTCTGGCCTATACCCCAGTTCTTATATGCATAAATAAATCAATTTTTTAAAAAAAAGTTGAATTAAGAAAAGTATTACAAGGAAGAAGGAAGGAAGGGAAGAAGGAAAAATTCTCAGTAAGTCACTCCAGATTTTTACCCCAGTATCCACTTGGTATTTAAACTCAACAGTAATAAGGCTTAACTTTTATTTCTCTGTAGCAAAACTATGTGGCTAATTAGCTATTTAAATAAGCTCTAAGTTTCAGTAAGCTTTATTAAATAAGGGGAAGACAAGGAAATTATTTAGGCAATATCATTAGGAAATGATATTGAGCTGCAGGTCAAGCGTCTGAGATGCTTATTTTTTACCATCAGAGGCAAACAGATTTCTCTTTCTCATCTGTCCTGCAATGCGATGAATGTTATGACAGAAATTCATGTGAACTTGTAGAAAGCAGTTGATTTGGCCTAGGCATGGGGAATGAGGTGAGGTCAGAGGCACCTGGAGCGTGAGCGCCTGGCCAACACAGGGGAAGCCTTACCATAGACGGAGACGTGTCACTCTCAGAGGGTCTGAGGCCACTCCATTGTTTAGGTCACCGAGTTGGCTGATGGACCAAAACAATAGTAATAGTCCCAGAATACCAAATCTTACATTTCATCACTTGTACACTAAGGACACATAGAGTTAACAAATATATGGGACTAGGTCTGGAGACCTTAGATTTAGTTTTGGTCTCTGCATTGCTGCTAGGTATGTTGCTGCATAAATTGCTTACCCTTTCATGACTCAGTGTTATCATCTGTAAAATGGAGAAAAATGTCTGATCTACCTTTCTTGCATGTTAGTATGTAGGAATTGCTTAGGATAGCATGAAGTCCTATAAAAGTGAAGTATGAATAAAACATCTTGCTTATATTTCTTCCCTTTGAAGAGAGGGACTTACCTCTTTCTCTGCCTCTTTAAGTTCTGCTTCTTTCTCCTTCACTCTCATCACAAACATTTGTCTCATTTCTTCTTCCTTTTTCTGAAGTTCTCCCAGAAATTCATTCCTTTTTGCTTCATATGTCTCCTGAAGACTAGTCAAAAAATTACAAACCAAGGACATTGTCATGAAGTTGCATAAAAAGAAGTTTATAGACTCTCAACCCATTCTTTTCCTAAAAGCTGATGTGGCTGACACTTACCAGAATATGGGACGTGTAGCTCCTTTTTAGTTGTGTACCAATCAGAAACACATGCTCATCAACAACTGCACAAGTCAATAAGCACAGTGCAGCACTAGTGATAATGTGATTATATCTCTTAAGTAGCCAAGATTTATCTTTTTTTTTTTAAGATTTATTTATTTATGCGTACAAGAACTGGGGTATAGGGCAGAGATTGGGGGGGGGTTGAGAGGATTCACCGAAACAGAGTGGGGAACAGAACAGGCAAACTGACCGAAACACAATTCTGAGGGGAGCAGTGGGTGAGACAGGAGAGGTCTGCTGCACCATGTGGGTTGCTCTCTGGCTGGCCGGGATGGAACTCGTGCTGCAGAGGCTGTGGATTGCTTCATAGTGCAGTGCTTAACCCCTAGCCAAGATTTATCTTAATGACATTCATACAGAAAAGCCTGGACTGGCTAGTAGCTTCTGGATTAGCATGCCAGGGGGACACCAAACGTATGACAGCATTTTACAAAGTGGAGGTGACTTAGTATTGGGAAAGGTATGCATAGGCCTGAGTCAGAAAGAGGAAGAGATTCTGGTTACAGCAAATTGTGAGCCTCAGTTCTCTGTCTAAGGTGGGAAGACAGTACCGTCTATAGATATGAGTGTGGGAAGTCAGTTGGGGCCAAGTGAGTAAAGCAATTGACAAACCACCAGTGCTTCACAAATGTTACTCTCCCCTCAACTCATCTCCCTCCTGTACCCTAGTTTAGAAAACAGACTTAGTGACCTATCAAAAGAGGCAATTGCGTATTGAAAGATAGTACTGAAAACTGCTACTTTTCAAGTATTATATTACTAACAGTAAACAGAGCAGGGAGTTGTACTTTTACATTAAACCCTGTCTTCTTCCTGACTTGGAGCCCAATATTTTAAATACAGCACCACAGCTTAGCTTTATCTCTAACTTGGAATATACCTATTTCTAGAAAAATCACCTTTCTTAACAAGTCACTTACCCACACCCATACAGAGAAACACTTGTTAATAAAGTGTGATTTCAATTTCTCCCTTGCAGTTTCTAAGAACAAGAGATATAATAACACAAGTCTGCAGGATTGTTCACATTTACCATGGACCAACTGCATGCAATGTGCTGACTCCAAACTGGACAGCACAAAGATGACCCCAGGCACCATGCAGAGCTATGGCAGATACAGACTTAGCAATTTAGGAGAAAAAGTATATTCAAGTAGAGGAGTATACCTGTAAGCATACAGACATCTGTAAAGAACTAAACAATTAAACAACAGTACTAAAACCACATGGCACTGGCACAGAAAGAGGTACCTGGACAAGTGGAACAGAATTAAAAGCCCACAAGTAAATCCACAAACATGTAAGGACCTAATGTACAGTAAAGCAGCTATGACGATGTGGGGAAAGGACAGTCTCTAAAAAATGGTGCTGGGAAAACCGGAGAATCACACCTCTAAGAATGCAGTTGGATCACTCGCTAACTCCATACACAAAAATAAATTCCAAATAAAATACAGATCTAGATATAAGATCTGTGGCAATATATAGAAAAAAAACACTGGTGACACATTCCATGACATCCATGATAAAGATGTTTTTGGTGACTCAACATTGATGGCAAGGAAAATAAACAAATGGGACTACCTCAAGTTTATTATTTTTGAAAAGTTGTCATACAACCAAAGAAAATGCAAGAGATTAAAAAGATACTGTATTGAATGGTAGGTAATATTCACACAACATATAACTGATAAAGGGCTACTGTCCAAGATAGAAAGAACTCATAGAATTCAACAATTAAAAAAAAAACAAGCAACCCAATAAATAAATGGGCAGCAGATATAAACAATGCACCCAAGTGGATTCCAGAAGGCCAAATGGCATATGAAAAAAATGTCCACTATTGCTTCCAGTAAGAGATAGAGGTTAAAACCACAATAAGATACATCTCATGTCCGTAAGAAAGCACATATTAAAAAGAAAGATCTCCAAGAAGTGCGGGAGAGATGGAGACAAAGAGGAACCCTATGACACTACTAGTGGGGCAGTAAACTGGTGTAACCACTATGGAAAGCAATCTGGATTTACCTTAAAAAACTAAAAATGGACGTACCTTATTACCAGCCAACCCTATTCTTAGGCATATGTCCAAAGAATGCAAACCATCAACACAAAAACCCCGTATATTCCACAATTTTTATATCAGCACTCTTTATAACAGCTCTGACTAGGAAGCAGCCTGACTGTCCATTGACAGATAACTGGACCTAGAACTACAATATAGTCATTAGAAGCAATAAAATGCAATTTTCTTTATCTATAAAATGGGAATCACACAGTAGCTATTTAATGAAAAAAAGTGAATGAAATCATCTCTATAGCATTCTTAGAGTATGATTAGAATTTAATAAATGTTATTGTTGCTAATATCAGCCACAAAGGCAACAAATTATAGATGTAAATAGTAAAAATGATAAAAAAAAATATATAGTTGCAAATAAAAACAGAACTAAACAATTAGAAAACTTATTAATTTGGATTGTTTAAACTTCTATAATCAATGTGTTATTGGTGAATTAAAAACACCCTCAGGGGTGTCAATCCTACCTGTGTATGAATAACCATGTGTTTTGAGTTCCAGGATATTTTTTTAAAAAAGATTTATTTATGCATACAAGAACTGGGGTACAGGCCAGAGATGCGGGGAGTGAGAGGATTCACCAGAGACAGAGTGGGGAACAGAACAGGCAGATGGACTGGAGCACATTGCTGAGGGGAGCAGCGGGTGAGACAGGAGAGGTCTGCTTCGCCATGTGGGTTTCTCCCTGGCCGGCCGGGGATTGAACTTGTGCTGCAGAGGCTGTGGATTGCTTCATAGTGTGGTGCTAAACCCCTTGTGCCACCAGGGAGGCCCAAGTTCCAGGATTTTATTTAGATTTTACTTTATCTTATGAGACAAAGACAGGTTTTGGTCAAAGTTAATGTTGGTGTCTAACATTGATAGCAACATTTGGACTGGAAATGTAAGGTATACAACCATGGTGACATAAAAGTACATTGATAAGAGAACTATAAAATAATTCAAGAATCTGATTTTGGGGACTCCCTAGTGGTGCAACGGGTTAAGACGCAACCTATGAATATACCCGCAGCTGCTATAGCACGAGTTTGATCCCTGGCCAGGGCGCAACCCATATGGCGCAGCAGACCTCTCCTGACTCACCTGCTGCTTCCCTCAGCAGTGTATTTCAGTCAATCTGGCTGTTCTGTTCCCCACTCTGTCTTGGTGAATCCTCTCACGCTCCACATCTCTGGCCTGTACCCCAGTTCTTGTATGCATAAATAAATAAATTTTTAAGAAAAAAAAAAAAGAATTTGATTTTGCTTCTTAGCTTCTAATAAACTCTTAACCAGCATTATTTGGGTCAGAATCACCAAAGACGGAGGATGACTTGCCCCTGCTATGACATTTTGTGGAAACATATTTTCTTTATTTTAGGATAATGGCATCTCCCTCTTCCTCTGACAAACAGTGGAACGCCTTTCTACAGAAACACTACCAAGAAACCCTATTCACAGCATGTTCCAGAGATCACCAGTTTTAAGAGATCTTCTACAGAGGGGCTGTCTCCAAGTCAAGAGTAAGAAGGAACACACTGGATGTGATGTCTCTTAAGCAGAGTCACAGAGCACGGTGGCCCCGACACCAGCAGCACATCTGATGACCTGGACATATTTTATTGTTTTTTCCCAAAATACAGTTTCCTAACCCCACTCCTAGATGCTGACCAGGATATTAGGCTAAAGCAAGTAATCTGCATTTTTTAAATGTTTCCCAGGTAATTTGATGTAATTAGTTCCACTGCTTGTTAGAAAGGAGACAGAGAAGTGTTCAGTACCCTAAATTAAGTTCTGTTAAATGCTCTGAGAAATCCTTCAGTAAAAGAATGTTTAACTTGACTGACTCAGATTTCCCCCAAATTTACTTAACCACAGAAACTTTTTCTAAGTAACTCATGGACAGGATGACTGGGTAATGCTGCCCAGAATTCTGAGCTCTCTTGAGGACTCTGCCTAATCCAGTTCTAATCACAACCACGCATATACTCCAGTTTCTGAAGATGTATTTTCAAACTATGGGGCCCAAACCAATCAAGTGTCTTAACCAGGATGTTAAAAGTTCAAGAGAATAGGAAGGCAAATACCAGAGTGCCGTGCAAACAGTAAGAGTAGGTATTATTTTATGAAATGTGTACACTGGCTCATGATGAAGAAGTTTTACAGTGAAGTGCAGTTAAAGTTGGAAAGCCTGGTCCTAGAGAAAGATGAAGGCGCAACCTGGCCACTGGCCAGATGGCCTTCCCTTGATATTCTGGGCCAGAACAAGAAAATGGACTCAACAAATACCTCTTACTAGGTCTCTGTATCCCAGGGCATGAACCAGGATTTGAACTCTGACAGTGCAAATGATACACAACGTATGAAAGAGACAATAACACCTTGCTCCAAAGGTCACAACTATAGTAAATTATTTAGAAATAACCTAGAACAATGCCAGGAAATACAGATCCTCTTCCCTCTTGGATTGCATCTCTGGCATCCCAAGTATGAATGAGACACCAGAAACCTTCACTCCATACTTCCAGTCAGTGAAACCAATCCAAAAAGAACTGGGTCTATGTTTACCTAAATTATATTATTATGATATTATACTAAAGTGATTATATCTTTTGCAATTTTTAGCTCTTCTAACTTAATATTTAATTGTAGTTATTAACAACTTTTTCTAAGTGAGAAATGAACAAATTTTCCATAGGTTTTAGGGTGGTTGAAACTGAGGATTTTATCTTCTCAGGTTCTCGTAACAGCCCTTGGTAGAAGCAGGGTTTGCTTCCCAAAGTCAAGAGAGGGAAACAGAGTACAGACACTCAAGTTCAGCCTTCATTCTGATAATTCACACAGCACAATTTCTCCCTGTTAGAATCACCTGGAACCACCTAGTAAAGGGCTTGGCTGATAGAAGACATCACCAGTATGTATGAAGCAATTTACACAAGTGAATTCATTAATCTTCCAAAAACCCAACAAACAAAGATTATTATCACCTCCCTTTCTATTAGATGGAGAATGCACTCAGTGGTGTTTATAATCTGTCCAGGTCACACAAAGAAGTGACAGAGCAGGGATCTGTGCCCAGGTCGCCTTGTTCAGATGGAGCTCGACACACCTCTCCACAAGGCTGGTGAATGGAGGCCTCATGCATCTGAAGTGAATAGGCTGCGTGGATCTGAAAACTTTGTGATCTTTTGAGAGTGGTGATAACCGAGCCCTTTGTGTGACCTGTCAGGCAGAGCCAAGGAAGTGGCATTCCGAGATAAGGAAGGATCAGTCTGGACAAGGGTGCTTGGGAAAAGCGCGATGGTGTCGCAGGAGAAAGGAATCAGGGACAAACCAGCCCTAACTCATGCCTCATCCCCTCTCCTCTTCCTCCCCAAATGCCAGGTGGAAGGGGCCCAAGGTCTGGCAGGATGGGGAACTGGGTGTGCTGGATGGGTTGAAGTGTGAACTCTGAGACTGCAGGGAAAAAACAGGTTGACACCTAGAGATAAATATGTGTCTACAGAGATAGAGACTACATAGAAACACAGACAAAGACTTTAGCACAGATATAGGTATAGGACAAAGACACAACTCTGAGTTTTGGGGTTTGAGGACAGCAACGGCGGTTCACTTCACAACTATGGTGACCTTCCGAGGCTTTAATACAGCCTGTTTTTGAGCTCACCTTCCTCCTGGTTTTGCTTCAAACTGTGTAATGTACTCAGGCAATGGCTGCCACTAACAATGGCAAGAGGTGTCACTCTACTTTGAAAACACAAATGGTGCTAGAGGGCAAATGGTAGACCTGGGGGCGGAAAGGGAAGGCTGGACTTCACTTACATGCGGGCAGGAGTCTTCTACTTTGAGAATATAAAAAATCAAGCCCTTCATTTATACTCTTTTAAGCTCATATGGAAAAAATCTAAATGTGTCCAAGAATGATGACTTTGAAGCTGAAATTCTGAGAAATCACTCATATTGTGGAGCTTTGCTTTTCTTTAACTGTGTACACCTCACGCTGGGTCACCTCGTTGCACAGGGTCACAGGAAGTGCTGAGGACACCGGATACGCCTCAAAGGGAAGGCTGAGCCCTTTGTAAGATAGTGATTTCCAAGAAAAGGAAACCAAATTCATTTCAACTTGTAATTTGCTAAGACATACATGAGTCAAAGTCAACTTTTCTACTCCGAATGGTCTTGCCCTGCATCCAGAGGTGGATACCTGAGTTTGAATGTGTGGATTTCTGAGTGGAGAAACTGTTTCCAGTGTTCCTAGTTACTGAGATGACAAAGGTACTTATTTTAGAGGGTTCACTATCCTCTGTTTATATAAGAAAAAGAATAAAGGTCTTGGTTATTTACGTGTTAGGTATTTTCCCTCTTTATCATCAAGAAGAAAAACTCAGGCCAGTAGAAACAGAACAACTGGGGAGGGTAAACATATGGATAAAGCATAAGAATTCTCAGGGCAGGCAGACTCAATAACATCTGCCACTGGTTGCAAAGCCCCTTTCTTCAGGGAGGCCAGAGACATGGGCTGCTGGACCTACCCTTAGACATCTCCTGGTGGGTCACTGCCCTAGGCTACAGGAGATACTATAATTAAAATGCCAGAAACAGACAGCAGAGGAGGTTGTATGCTTACAGCAGCAGAAAACCTCTCACCCTCACAATGCCCAGGGAACCAGTGAAGATGGTGATAGAGGGTGAAGGGGACTGCACCACACTCTTCAAATTCAGGTTGAGAAGGACACAGTTGTGTCAAATGGTTTTTAACATTTGAGGAGTAAAATTACATTTAACAAACTTTAACAGTCACCTGCATTCTAACTTTGTAGGCAGTCTGATCTGGTCCAGAGATTGGCAAATTACACCCACAGAGCTAAATCTGACTCACCCATTTTTGTAAGTTTTATTGGTGCACAGCCACGCCCATTCATTTAAGGTCTCAGGCTGCTTTCATAATAGGAGGCAAACCAAGTATTTATGACAGAGACCACATGGCCTGCAGAGCTTAAAATATTTACTATTTGGCCCATTACAGAAAAAGTCCTTTTACTAGATCTGCTGTGCCCTGAACTAGCCCTAGTTCCCTCACTTTATAATGAGGAAACTGAGGCCCAGACAGGTTAAGGAGAACCAAGATCTGACTGCACCTACCGCTCTTAAACACTGTCTGAATTTGAACGAAGGTGAGGGACAAATGGGTTTGATTTTATTGCAAGTTCCTTAGCTCCATTTCTTTTTTTTTTTTAAAGATTTATTTATTTATTTATACAAGCACTGGGTACAGTCAGAAGCAAGGGAGGGTGAGAGAATTCACCAGAGCCAGAGCAGGGAGCAGAGCAGGCAGAAGGACCGAAGTACACTGCTGAGGAGAGCAGCGGGCGGCAGGAGAGGTCTGCGTGCCATGTGGGACCCTCCTCTGGTGGCCGGGGAGCAGCTGGGAATTGAACCGGCGCTGCAGAGGCTGCGGGCAGCTTCACAACCCAGCGCTCAACCGCTGCGCCACCGGGGAGGCCCATCCTTAGCTCCATTTCTATGCAAAAAAACCCCAAAAAACAAAAAACTACTCCATCAAAAAATAAAGATAACCTCTCCCATCAGGTTTAATAACCAGAGTAGGCTTGATCTTGTAGGGTTTATTTTTCGGTCAATGCATTTCAAGGTTCAATTAGTTAAATTTGTGCACGCAAAAAGGCATTCCAGAAGTGACACTGTAAATGGTTAAAGAGGGTCACTTTTATAAGCCCCCAGGGCAGGACTAAATGATGCAAACTTGGCCAGAAGTTAACTTCTTTTATTAGAGTTCCTTTGTCTGGCGTTTCCAATTCCCCTCAGTGCCCTCAAGGGGTACTGCAGCAGAAAACCAGCCCAGAAGTACCAAACATCTCTAAAACAATTTCAAGAAAACAAAGCGGCCTCCCACCTCACTGGCAGCTCAGATCCCCTGGAAGGACTCACCCCCACCATGCAGAGGTTGCCTCAAGCACTGCAGCTAGCTGGCTCCTACCCACTAGCAAGTGAGCTCTAGGGCTGGCCACAAAAGGGGGAGGAGACCATCTTTTCCAAGGAACTGTGGTCCCCCACAGGTAGACGCAACAAGTCCAGACATATGGCACATCCTAAACTCTGATTCAGAAGTTGCATGGCCTCAGTCTGGCCAAAGCGATTCTCTCCCGGACCCAGAAGTGATGCACCTGTCCTGGCAGCCCCGCCTCCCCCCAGTACCCTGGCCCTGTCAACACTGCCGACTTATGAGCTCTGACAGGGCTTGGGCCTTTGCCAGGCTACTAATTCTACATTAATTTCGATAGTCTCCCTATCACATTTTGACTTTTTTTTTATAATTCATTTATACAAGCACCGGGCACAGTCAGAAGCGCAGGAAGGTGAGAGAATTCACCAGAGCCAGAGCAGGGAGCAGAACAGGCAGAAGGACCGAAATACACTGCTGAGGGGAGCAGCAGGCGGCAGGAGAGGACTGCATGCCATGTGGGACCCTCGCCCGGCGGCTGGGGATCGAACTGGCGCTGCAGAGGCTGCGGGCAGCTTCGCAACCCAGCACTTAACTGCTGCGCCACCGGGGAGGCCCACATTTTGACTCTTTATATCCATTTACCCAATGATGTGGGACAAAAAGAGATTTTCTATAAGTTATCCCCTTTCTTACTCTATTGTTGTTAGAGCTGCGCTAAAACACTGAAAGCTAGTTAGAGCACTTCAAAAAGTAAGAGCCTGTTTATACACATCTGAAATTTATATAATCTTGTAATGCAGTATTACTTCATCTGAAAAGAAAAAAACGGGACTATTTGGTCAAAATGAATGAGGCCAACTGTAATGCGCGACCTCATCTTTGTAAAGGCCTGAATCAATTCTGTGGCTCCATGATTGTAAGAAGAGCAGGCAGGGGTTAAAAACTCACCCCCATCACTTCCTACTTCTAGGCCCTGGGTCAGTTGTTTACACTTTAGTGCCTTAGTTTCCTCATCTATAAAATGAGGTTGGCAACAGTGACATCAGTTAGTTACAATAATGCAAATAACGTGGCCAAGGCGATGCCTGGCAACACACTTTGACTCTTCCCCACCAGGTTCCTTCATCTCCAATCTCAATCCAACAAGCACTTCTGTGATGCACCAGCACACCACCCTTGCCGCTGTCTGGGGAACACCTGACTTCAGGGTGACTTCATACCTGAAGGGTTTGCTGTCAGGGTCTGTGTCCTTGAACCCCATCTCCTCAAGCTTACAGCGTCGATACAATTCATAATGGCGGGTGTGCGTCTGTTCTCGCAAATCTTCCATATTCACACGGATCAGCATCTCTCGAAGTTTCACAAAATCACAATGGTTTTCATTCTCAACTATAAAAGATTGGGAAGAATAGGAGGGGCCGTCAGCAGTGAGGTCCCTGAATTTGAAGGGTTGCTTCCAGGAGGCTGCTACCACTGCTCCTAAAATCTCTGTGGTCTCAAGACCACTTAAGATCCTTTAGTGGATTTACCTTGCATTCCTAATGAAGATGAGATGTCTGACAATTGACCATAATGCTGATGACAGCAGCATCTACTCAGTGCAGGGCACTGTGGAAGTGGGGGGTAGAAGTAGCTCTTTACTCTGTGTTTACAAATACAGTCATTGACCGTCACAATAATTCTGCCAAGCAGACACTGCAACTCTTGCTTTGCAGAAGCAGTTTTCTTATTAAAAAGGGAAAATGATAAGACTCATAAAATTCAAAGGGACATCAAAGGTACTGTTTCTTTTCACTCCTCATAGATTTACTGCCTTTATTCAGAACAAAGGAAAAGGAGGACTGATATGTCTTAAACTAATGAAGGAAGCATCTGCTGCCATCCTGCTTTCAAAACCTGCAAGGGCAGGTAATGGAGCACTTGCCTTTCAAAACGCTATAAGGGTAACTGTTTCAGGTTAGAGGCTGCGTGCGGCCTGGCCCACAGTGCCAAATACGGGTCAGATATTCTCCTACTGTTCAGATATTTTCTGAGATAACATTTAATTGGAAGATGACTTTTCTGGAAAGAACAGAAAAACAAGTACCCTCTTCTTTGCCAGAAACTTTTTGCAGCTTTCTTATCCTTTGCCTATGAAACTGGTTCAAACTCCTAGGAAAGAACTCTTTTCTCTCAGGGATTCACAATGAATTTCCCTACAAGTCAACATTCTGAGGGGCTGCCTCAGAGGTACTAGGACTTTCCAGTCACTTCTCTCCATTGTCTGCCTACCTGATCAACGTTTCTCTTACTTCCACCATTGGCAGGTATATAATCCTGCCACTCCCTTCCACCTGCCCATGGTGGAGGACCTTCCCAATATGAAGAGGAGGAAAGAAAGTGAAGAATCACCTCAAGGGTTGAAAGTGAAGAATCCCGGCCCTGTGAAGCATACATACCCTGCACCACCCCCCAAGGGTACTGCCTGGCCTTTGCCATCTTGTTGCCGATCTTTACTTCTTCGGTGCTGCCAACCACTGCAAATGGGAGATGAACCTGCCAAGCAGACAAGGGGTAGAGGGGAGTTACCTTCCGCAGCTCCAAGACCAGTTTTCCACCTGTCTCTACACTCCCCCTGCAGGGCTTTATTTAGTGGCATGAGAAAGGGGGAGAGAGAAAAGAAAAGGTAGGAGGCCCTGCAGTTCCATGGGGGTGGGCCTGGTCTATCTGGGCCCTTCCACAACCAAGGGATGAATATTTGATGGGAGCTACATTCAAGGGGAAACTGCATGAGTGTCTGTAACAACACAGGAAGTGTTAGGTACTGCCAACCTGGCAGCCATTAACTATGTGGCTATGGAGCACCTGAAATGGGTCTTGAGGGATAAAGAAGGTGAATTTCATTTCCTTTCAATTTATGCTTAAGTTTAAAAAGTGGAACCAGTGTAAAATATTATTCCATTAAATATAACATCATTGTTTTGGTAGGACTACATTTTACTTTGCTTCAAAGAGCAATCTCCTAAAAAATAAAAGTAGTTTTGTCAACATGGTAGAAATATTAAAGGAAAATTATCTTTTTGGTGTTTATTTCATATTGGAAAATGTTCAAGAGTATTAGAAATAACATTGGGGTGGGTTGTAATAATAAAATATGTATTTCAAAGTTAACTATTAAAATATCTCAAAAATTTTTATATAAATTAAATGTTGAAATTATTAATACTTTGGACATGTTGGGTTAACTGAAATAAATTCTTGAAATTAATTTTGTTTCTTTTTACCTTTTTTTAAAGTGGTGACCAGTTTTAAATTATTTGTGTGGTTCACATATATATTTCTATTGAACACATTGCTTTAAACTTTGATCATTTCACAAAATTAAAGTCAGAAGTGCACGTTAGCTCAAATTACTGGCCCAAGGCCTGCACCCAGACTTATCTCAAGCAGAGATGGTGTTCAAGACAAATGACTCCTCTACATTAATTTATTTGGTAACTATTGCTACATTTTGGGGAAAAAATAGTCACTCTATTTTTTTATATGAATATAATCAGATTTGGAATGGCTATTCTTAGTATGATTATTTAGGATTCCTTGATCTGATGTACTATAGACACATTGAGAAAGGTAGAAATAGTTTAAACAAATCCTCTTCCACAGAGAACTGGCATAACCCTCAGCACAAGTTGCCCAAGTGGTATTATTTTGTCTGATGATCAAGATATTTGTATTTTCTAGTTCATCTCACTCTGTAGGAAGGAAAGAAAGGCCATTCTCTTTCTACAACTTGTTAAATTTCTTTAACAAATTAAATTTCTCTTTACACCAACATTTTGGTGTGAGGACCAAGAAAATAATTTTCTCCACTTAAACTGAGTGACAAAAGCAAATCTGTTTTCCCCAAATCATATGGAACCATCATCATCAGGAACTATCTGCAATGAAAAATGCAAAAGAAATTTTCTTGATAAAGGTCATGATTAATTTGGGAATATCAAAGATCTTCAGTTTTATTAATCTGATAAAGAGAGCAAAGGTTCATGGGTATTTTCTTTCCAAAAAGTTTAATATAGTTTCATGCAAATAATCTAAAAGGATGAGGAGGGACATAGAGAAAATGAGGTGTCATTCATACATGTTACTTCTTGAATCCCACACTGATGCCCCAAATTGGATTTCTACAGCAGAACAAACAAGTACTACCTGAGCCCGAAACTATGACAAAGCTATAAACAAGCACAGCATTTTTGGTTGGGTGGCAGTCAGCGTAAAGGGTGAGGTGTCAGCACAAGAGCCTCACTTCTACTGCTGTGGTTTACTCACAATGGAGGAAGGAGGACTAGCACCTTCCCATGAGACTGTCATGAACATTAAATGCAAAGCCTCCAACAGTGCCTGGCATTGCAAATGCTCCATACATGTCAAAAATGTCAGGTGCCACTATTAGTTGAAGCTCACAATTCCTACAACCAAAGAATTTTGCAGGCAAAAGAGATCTTACATATCTGGTTCGATGCTGTATGCAAATTGCCTCAATAGCATCTCTACTAAGTGCGTTGAAACAGGTCCACCAGGCCCTGTTGAAACTCACACTGCCCTCAGGTGTTGGTTATACTGCAATGGCACCAACACAAATCCCTCACTGCTCTTGTATATACTAACTTTGGCTCTGTTTTTTGTGTAAATCTAGTCACTCCCCTCTCCTTTGACAACATTCCTTACACAACCCCTCATGCTGTTTCCCAGGAAGAAACTGCTCTTCAGTTTTTATTCCAGAACCTTTGCTTCCTTGGCAAAGAGAGGCAGCCAGAGAGGGTCACACAGCTCAGAATGTGACCAGATAGGGGAGGGTGGAGCGAGATCATCTCTTTAAAATGAGATCCCTACATTTTAAAGTTATAAAGTAATAGCCCCAGAGAGGGGGGATGTAACATTTACCATCAAAGCCCTAGTCATGTTGGGAATTTATAAGAAAGTAGCTCCTCCTTAAATGACAACAGCCCTCCACAGAAAAATCCATATGCTGAACTGAAGAGAAAAGAAGCAGTTTGAGGACAACATGAACCTCTTTGATGACGATGGCAAACAACACAGGACTGGGGACCAAGTGGGTTGTGTTGAAATCTCAGAGCTGCCACTAACTGGACGGCTTTAAGCAAGTCATTTAATTCTCTCGATGAGCCTCAGAATGATTTCCTTTCTATGCAATGTCCAGAACCTGCAAATCTATGTAGAGATATGAAAGCTTAGTGGCTGCCTATGTCTGGAATGGAAGATTCATAGCTGAAAGGAGCATTGTTTTTTTGGGGGAGGGTGGTGGTGGTGATGAGAATGTTCTAAAATTGTCGGTGGCAAAGGCTTAAAAATTCTGTGAACGTTGAAACATTACGGTATACTTTAAATGGATGCATTGCATAGTATAGCAATTAATCTCAATAAAGCTATTAATAATAAAGAGTGCTTTATTGCATTTAATAATGATTTGACTAGACACTTTTCATAATCAGATCTATGTAAGGAATGTAGAACATGCCTCATCCTACCACAAATTAAAAAACCTAGACTGACTTTCCCGGCCACCAGTACACTTCTGAATCAATTTTTAGCATGTGTTCAGGGAAAGCCAAGTTACTCAGCAGCTTCTAATTACATTTCACTAAACTATTCTACAAACTTAAGAATTCCAAAAACCATCACAGATCGCTACTATGTGGATAAAGAACGCTACCTTCACAGAGTTATGTGTCCCTAAATGGACAAAGATAAGTATAACCATGTGACTCGGAGCTGACTCTGGTTAGAAGACACACAGGATCAGAGGCAAAGGTTCAGCTGGCAGGGTGGAGGCTAAACAGGAAGATTACATCACAGGCACACTTAGAAGTTGAATCATTTATCGCCTGACCAATTCCTCCCTGTGGTCTGTGGAAATTACACCCTCAATGGCCAATTCACCTAATGAATCCGGAACAGTATAGGGAAAACAGGTAAGAAAAGGGAGAAGGTAAAGAAAATAGCAAAGACAGGAGTAACTACAGGAGCGAAAGTGAGACAGGTGGACATATTTCTGCCAACAGTGACAGAAGCAGGCAGAGGTCGATTTCCTTTCATCTGCTTTGCATGTAGTGGTGCTGGAGTAGTGTTGCCTCCCCCAAGATCTGCTGCAGATATCTTAACTGTTAGAGCAGGAAGGAAATTTGCTATCATCTAATGGTCCCATTTGGTAGATGGAGACACTGAGGAGTGAGATAGTGAAATGACTTAAATTAGTGGTGGTGAAGATATTAGATTTCTAGTCAGTGTTCTAGACCCTCTGCAATGCTGCTACTAAGAAACACTTGTGGGAAAATGATAGGGTGGTCTGCTTTCAGTTAAGGACTTACACTCATTGTTGCATTGATCTCTGCTACCGTTTCTTCATCTGTGGGGAACTGATATATCTGGACTCCATTGCTGACCAGTTCACTCATGATCTTACTCTTGAATTTGTGCAATTCATTCTTAGCGATGGTGTCAGCTTTTGCAATTATTGGAATGATGTTCACCTGCAACACAAAAATCCATTTTTATACAATTCCAACATAAGAAAAATGATTAGACAAATGAATAAAACATAGCAAACAAATTGTAAAACTTAACTTAAAAAAATAGAGAAGATATTGAAAGTCAGACTTTCTACCTAAATGCAGAATTAAGTTATAGAATAATCTTTTAGTTTCATCTTCTAAACGTATACTTCCTCCCACCCTGCACTGAAAGCATACTTGTAATTTCCTCTTTTGTGCTACCTTATTCTTCTTTATAGAGTGAAAAAGGAAATGTTATTCTATGACAAATAGCAATAACAAAGAAGCCTATTCTTTGAATACTCAACCACTCCTTTTAGACCCCTCCCAGCTACTTTAGGAACTTGAATTTTGCAAGTTGCTAACAGTGTAATGACAAAGCCTGCATTAGTTAGAATGGGGAACACTCAGCTCCATGCAGAATAACCATCCTTTCTTTCTTCTGATGACCTGAAAACCATTAGAGACAAAGAACCAAATATTAACCAAAACAAAAGTGGTGTCACCTACTTTTAAATTTTTCAAAATCACACCAACTAATTCTTTTGAATTTCAGCTTCTATCATATTACTCCTTCGTGCCACAATGAGACCCAGTGCCAAAGGCCAGGCTCACTTTCAGAGCATCAATTACAAAGACCAGAGAGAACTTAGCTTGACAATAATGGCAGAAAGCCCAGGAGAGCCAAGGATACCCTTGAATGCAGCCCCAAGACACAAGTTAAAACATTCTTCTCCCAAAACCCCCAGCACTGATATCAGGACATTTTTTTAATTCATTTTTTAAGATAAAAGCTCTTTCACTCCTGAGATGCAAGGGTCTCCAAAAGATGCCACTGATAGCCAATACCCGAGCCCCTGTTCTCCACCCAGCTCAGATGCAAAGGGAATAGACTTGGTAAGAAAGCAATCCTAAGTCAGAGAAGAGTCTTCAGGGGGAGTTTCCAGGTCATGTCTGCATTCCTTTGCTTTTCTTTTCATTCCAAGAGTCAAATAAAAAGTCCATGACAAATCAGAATGAGAGGACATGCTGATAGAAAAACCCAATTCTTTAACACAATCTTTGAGCAACCCCTAATCTTTTACATAGGCTTCCTCCAGCAAGTTACAGATGGAGAAAAACAACACTGATGCTAGGTATCCACGTGTAGGTCAGGGCGCGAGGAACAAAAACACTTCCCAGTTGTCCTTAAGGGCATTTTTGTGCACAGTGAGCAGCCATTTAATTCAACTGAGGCACAAGGGCAGAGGTTCATAGCTTCCTCACTGATCCGCTCAGAATAGACAGACAAACCAAGCCATCTGGATTTAAAATCTCTACAGCAAACTACTCTACAACAATTATCAATTCTTTGAAGGAAGTTTAACCTGTTTTGTGGTCATTGCTGTCTATTTTTTTTAAAGATTTATTTATTTATGCATACAAAAACTGGGGTACAAGCCAGGGGTGAGAGGATTCACCAGAGACAGAGTGGGGAACAGAACAGGTGGATTGACTGAAATACACTGTTGAGGGGAGCAGCAGGCGAATCAGGAGTGGTCTGCCGTGTCATGTGGGTAGTTCCCTGGCCAGGGATGGAACTTGTGCTGCAGTGGCTGTGGACAGCTTCACAGTGTTGTGCTTAACCCCTTGTACCACCAGGGAAATCCCCCATTGCTGTCTTTTTTTAGGTGTGTTTACTTTATTTTCTTTCCCCTTTGAATCAACTCTAATAGGCACTATCTTATTGAGGCATATCAGCCTGGTTGGTCCACAACTTCCGCTCAGTCAGGAACCCACCTCTGTCTCATGCTTCCTGGCCCAGTTCTCAAGGCTGAAGCAGGGCAGGGAGTGAGCCGTCTCAGCACCAGGACATCAACTACCCAAGGCTAATTGCAGCTGAACCAAATGAGAGGAAGGGCTTTGATTTATTCCCCCCAAGTACTCTGGCTGCAATAATCTTCTCAGCTGTTAGGATATTTTTCTGTAAATGAATGGTGTGTGTCTGCTGGAAGTCCTAGGAACCTACAGACTCTGCCTCAGTCACAGGTGCCAGTTTAGACAGAGGTCTGGGGACAGGCTGATCTTCTCAGTTTTTTCTTGCTATTATGTCTTCTGGAGGAAAAACTGTCTTTTAAAATGTTGAGCAGACAAAAAATAACAGCCAGCAAAGATGATAAGACTTTTTATTGAGCTCAGAAGGATGGTGACATCTAAGAGAAAATACCATAGCTTAGTTTTGTGGTTGCTCTTGTTACCATGGGCAACTTCTTGTTACCATGGGTAGTGTCTTCAAAATGGAAAAATCAAATTAACGTAAAGTAGAATGCCAAATGTTAACAAACTTATCAGTCCCTTCCTTCAAGCACTGTGAAAGAAAGAGGTTATAAAGGAGAATCAGGGATCAAATAGAAATGAAGAGTACTTCTTTTGAACAAATGGATGGAGTTCAGTTTTAATAGAGAAGAAGATCTAAGAAGCTAAAAGAATTTAACATCTTTTATCATTGATAAAAATTAACTTAAGTTCTGAGCTTCAAATTAAGGCCAAACATTTTAAATGGTTTAAAACATTTTAAAGAGATGTAGAAAAATGTTTTAAGAAAATAAATTGTGAAATTATATTTCATTCTTCCTAAATTTAACCCTTCCTAAGACCACATAGACATCTCCACTATATAATTCCCCAAGCCTCATTAGGGCAGACACTGGTGCTAACTCAAGAATTAAAAATACATTGTAACAATCTACATGTTTTCATTATTTTTATTTTGTTTTTGCCTAATATCCAGAAAAGTTTTGAAGTATTCTTTTCATGCTGCTAAACCCTACGGTTCTGTAAGCCAGGGTTGGGGCATGGAGGAAGAATGAACAGGCAGAGCAGCAAGGATTTTCAGGTCATGAGGATACGTTGTGTGATAGTATGATGGATGTATGTCATAAATTTGTTCAAGTCTATAGAATGTACAATACCAGGAATGAATTTTTATGTAAAACATGGACATTAGTGATTAAGACATATCAGTGTAGGTTCAACAACTTTAACAGACACCACTCTGGTGGGGGATTTAGTAATGGGGAAAGCTATGACTGTGCAGGGCAGGGAAGAGATGGTAAATCTCTGTACCTTCCTCTTAATTTTTCTATGAGCCTTGAACTGCTCTAAAAAAGTTTTTTTTAACAAATCCAAAATTATACTAAAAGCATAGTAAGTTAGGCCTTCAGATGAAGGTGGTCTAAAAGGAGAGTGGAAGTTAATCGGAATGGCAGTGAGTACCTTGCTATCCAGTTTTTTCATGGTGACCAGATCCAGGGACTTCAGGGAATGTCCGGTTGGGGCAATGAAGTAGAGGCATGCGTGGATCCTGGTGTCGTGGTAGTTGAAGAGAGAACGTTTGATCTTTAATTCTTCTTGCAAGTAAGCCTCAAACTGGGCATCAATATATTCCACTATTGGCTTGTAGCTAGAATATAGAAGAATGCTTTTTAAAAACACATGTTCAAATCACTGTTTCTGGTCTCAAACCTCTTCTGCAGTTCAGTATGGCACCGTCCTCCAGGAAGTCTTCAATGGCTCCCTCTCCGCTAATAACTAAAGCCCCAACATCCCAGGCCTTCCCTCACCTACTCCCTGAATGTCTCTCCAGGCTCTTCTCTTCACTCCCTCCCTGGCTTACCCTTTCTGTCCCAGCAACATTCAACCTGACAGCAGGTCACACACGAAGTCCCCACCGACCTCCATGCTGCTGCTCCTCAAGCCATTCTTCCTGGAACAATGTTCTTCCTATGAACTCTCCTGGCTAATCCGTTCAGAGATTACAAATAGGTGCAGTGTGCTATCACTTTTCCCACGAAAGTGGAACTCTCACATGGAACTCTCACGAAAAGACTGACATTCTTTCCTAGTGGGCCAGATCAGAGCCTCAAATTTGTCCCAATAAAGTGATTTTGACAGCCTCCATCAACTGACTGACCAGTGGGGGACAAAATGAAAGCTGGTTTGTGATTTCAGGACCTAGTAGCACCTCCTTTTAGGAGCTGATCCCTGCCCCATTCCTCCAGAGACCAGGGGTTCCGTTCTATCCTAGAACCCTGTGCACAGTACGGTAAACTGAATTGCCTGGACTATTATCTTCAAAATTCCTTCCAACTCCAAGATTTTATGACTTAAGGTAAACTCTGCAACCCTCTCTTCTCATCAAATCTGCTTTGAATAATTATGTATGATTCAATTAACTAACCATAAACACAATCATTAATAGCATACTGGGAATACACACTCAAAAAAACATTATGTTCTCCAGGGATTAAGTAGTAGTACATTAGGTCACTGTGGAAAAGCCAAAGACTCTTTCAGGTCTTCAAGTACACTGTTCAGAAATCAGTGTCAGTAGAAGTGAGAATGATCTATTAGGAAAAAAAGGGGTTAATTCTCCCCAAATTTACTACCTTGCTGAAGAATGATGTAAGCTTTAAGAAAAATAAAACCTTTCAACACTCACGTCCCAGGCCCATAAATTAAACTGAAATTCTTGACAGGAACTACAAATCTTTTACAATGAAGATGAGAACAGACTTTCTTAGAGAAAAAAAAAAAACAAACAAAAAACCCAAATAAAAAAAAAATTGAAAAATAAATTTATGACTAAGACTGAAGCAATCAGAAAAAAACTCTTTGATAATATTTTTCCCTGCTGGCTTATCATAATCCATTGGTTCAATTCAAGCAGACAAAATCTCCAAAGATTTAAAGAAAAAGTAGAAAGTACTCTAGTAATAATAAATTATGACAAAACTCCAATAAGAAGGATGAACAAGTGATAATATTCTTCTGTTCTCCAATTTTTAAATATTGGCAGATATTACATAGTAATAGCCATAATCATTATTATTATCATAGGATGGTGGTTAGAAGTGGAAAGAGCTTTAAAATCTAGCTACAGAATTTAATAGCTGTTTGACTTCAAGCAAGTGACTAAAACTGTCTGCATCTCAATTTTCTCATTTGTAAATCAAGGACAAAATCAGAGAGCTACTGTGACAAATAAGTGAGCTAATACATTTATTTGTATTAGCCGGCACATAAAAGGAAGAGAAAGAAAGAACAAATAAGAGAAATGCAAGCCTGACTGAAAAAAGACAAGGGGGGGTGGTGGGGGAGAGGTACTTTACACTTGCCTGGTTCCTTGATAACTGAGCTCAAGTCCTGCAGGGAAGCGCACCCAGTCTCACCTGCCAGTCAAGGCACTGAGGTGTGTACCTGAGGAGTTAGGATCCTTCCCTAGACTCTCTTAGCCCCAAGGAGAAGAAAAGCAGTTCACAAGCAGTTGCTCCTTCCTGCCTCCCCAGGTCCTGGTTTTAGTGTCTCAACCTCCTCCCTAATGGCACGCGTATGTTTTTGCTATTAATTTCCCTTTCTGTCTCTGGTTTTGATTCTGATCCTCCAAAGCTTATGGAGGCATAATATCTCTTCTTTTCCACTGAGGGCTGCTTTCTGCCCTGGATTCAACGTGTCCAAGATATCTCTTGTTCTCTCTTCTGTCCTGGGCTTCCTTCAGCCTGCCCATTAAGGAGTTCGAGCCAGTCTTTCAATCTCCTCCTTTTCCATCTATATGTTCTTTCTGAAAAATTAGATTTATTCCCATGTTTTACTCACTACCTACCTGATGATGATTCATAAGTCTCTACTTACAGTGCAGATCTTTCACCCAAGCTTCAGACCCAACCATCCAACTGCTTACCAGATATTTCTATTTAATCTTCTAAGAGACAGTCAAAATCAAATTCTGTCTCTTGCTTCTAAACCCACACTTCTATATTCTTTAGCACAGTGAATCTATATCACTGCCCAAGTCAGAATCCTGGGTTTCAACTGAGAAACCGCCTCTTCTACCTCCCCACACAATCAAGTTCAAAGTCCCACCAATTTTTACCTTCTGTATCATTAAAAAAAAATGCAAGACATGTATACCAAGAATGATTTCTCAAAATCATTACTTACGTTGGAGATCTAATTATGCTACTGAAACAATAGTTTCCTCCTGATGCATAACGCGTCAGTCAAGTGGCTTGTATTCTTTCACAATTCTTTAAGCAAATGCTCTGCCTTTTTCTCCTACTCCTTTCCACCTCTTGTTACCTACATTCATAGTCATAAAGATAAGGAAGCTAAATCTCAATTTTGCCTGTTTTGGTAGTTTCCATTCTCACAGAAAGGATACCAATTATGTTCTGTTTGGTCAATTCAAACACAATCAGAGGATGGGGCGGGCAGGCAGTGCATATCACAGGAGGGATGGCACTGGTGGTGGAAATCAAATAAAATGTAGTCCTTACATTTTTCACCTGATTTTCATTCAGGCATGGGGCATTTCTTTTTTCTTTTTTTTTTAAAGATTTATTTATCATACAAGAGCTGGGGTACAGGTCAGAGATGTGGGGGGGTGAGAGGATTCACCAGAGACAGAGCGGGGAACAAAACAGGCAGACTGACCAAAACACACTGTAACAGGGTATGTTCGTAGGGTTCCAGAGACCTCCAAAGAAGGTGAGGAAGCTTGCCTCCATTGGCAGGACTGAACAACCCGGCCAACGAAAAAGTCCTGGTACCCTCAAGAAGAGGAAAGCCCAGGTGGAGTCTGATGAGATGAACTTTGTTCCTGAAGCCTGCATGGACCGGATGCCAACGGTTCGCACTGATCCTATATGGAGTATTCCAACAAAGCCATCTAAAATTGCTGTTTAGTTATTCTGCCCTGTGATTTTATGCAAAAATAGGTAAAATGATTTAAAAGTAGATTTAGTTTGCAAACTTTTGCTATGCTGTTAAAAAGTTTGGGATCAAGGTTGAGAAAATTTGTGTTTTACATAAGTTGAACCATTTTAAGATTTTTTCCCCTGTGGTTTCGATATATTTGCTGTCTTGTTTTAGCTAATGCTCCAGATTTTTTTGTCTTTTGGTTTGGATAATGGACTATTTTCCAGTAATGGAAAACTGTCATACTGGACATTCATGCACAATGCTACTGACTAATTGTTGCTTCTCTTACACACATTGTAACCCTGAAAAAAGACTGTTTCCTAAGATTCTACCCTGAGATCTGTGCCACCATAGATATGGTGGAATAAAAATTAAAAGGGGGGATTGTAACAGGGTGGTCCCCAGGAAAGGGGGAGGTTCCAGGTTCCCTGCCCCACCCAAGGGAGGGTGGAGGTAAGCAGGGAGAGAAGAAGCTGCAGAGGAGACTGAGGAAGGAAGGAAGCAGGATGGAGCCAGAAGGAGACCTGGAGGGGGCGCATGGAGCCGAGAGACAAGTGAAGAAACTGCGCTTGTCTTTTGGTTGTGGACTGGGTGACACAGATGTGGGTGAGACCCGTGGGGAGGGGACAATGACAGCTTTTATCTTGATTTTGATTTTGCTCTTTTCCTTCCGGGCTTGTCTGGTTGTTTCTGACCCTTTTCTGTGGGTCCCCACTCGAAGATGCTTTAGACTTGTGGCAGGCTTTGGGGCCTTGCTCTGGGCCAATCCCATTTGGATAGAGTTTTACCCACGAGGAGACGGGTAACTTTGGGAGCTTGATTTAGAAACTAGATTCTTTGCCTTTCCTGTATTGTTTCCTAATTGTATTAAAGTTCCTTTCCATTAAAGTCTCATATGTTTTGTGTTGATGTGGCAGATGGCAGAACCCATTTAGAATAGGCAGGTTTGCCAGGTTTGGGCTGCCCCTCTCCCTGCCCTGTAACAACACTACTGAGGGGAGTAGTGGGTGAGACAGGAGAGGTCTGTTGCGCCATGTGGGTTTCTCTCTGGCCGGCGGGGGGATCAAACTTGTGCTGCAGAGGCTATGGATTGCTTCATAGTGCAGTGCTTAAACCCTGGCACCACCAGGGAGGCCCCATGGGGCATTTCTTTTTACCCACCACTCATTTTTTTTTTAATATACCTCCAGCCATTAATACTATAAGATGACAGAGGTTAGTGTGATAGAAAAAAACATTTTATACAATTTTTTTAATCAATACACATTACCCACTGATCATTCTTGCAAAATAGCCAATGCCATTGTTCAGTGACTGATTCTCCATTAAATATGTGACCAGACACTTATCACATATTATTCTTTATCTTGCCATCTGTTAGTATTTGTTTTCTCTCAACAACCTCCACCAAAAAAATGTGATAAAAACAAAATTTAAAGACTAAACAGTCCCCTTCACTACCATTTTTATAACTGATAAAGATTTGCTGAGTTTGAGGATTCCTTCTCAGTAGATTTCAACAGGACTAATTGTCACTTTAGTTCATGATAGGCCATTGATGTCTACCTCCCATCTCCCAAGGGTGGGGCAAATGAATTATTCTATTTCTTGTTCTAAAGCAAAACTTGGTTTCCCTTCATCTCCAGATCCGTTCTTCACCAAGGAATACAGATAGAAAAACAAGGAAGCCCTGAAACCATGAGTTAATCGTGCTTTTAAACATAACAGGAAACCTTAGCAGATCTCTCTTCCTGTCTCCTTCTAACTAACTTGGTCCCAGGCAGATAAAGATGCAGGAATGCTGACATATCCCAAGCCTACATAAACAAACTGCGACATTCTTAAAGTCTTGCATCAATTGCAGAAAAGCTTGCCTAATCCCCAAAGTAGGAGAAATAATCATAGGTTTAGGCAAACAGCACATCCCTTCCTATATGGTTACATATCGTTGCAAAAATGCATAAAATGCATATCTACTTCCAATTTTTTGATGGAAGCAGGTTATCTCTGAATAACTATTTTAAATAACAGTCATTTGGGTTTATCCTCAGTAGTGTCAACAATGCCTTCTGGGGCATAAAGTTTGAAATGCCACTTAAAGAGGTTATGCAACAGTTGTCAAGAAATCTCAGAAGAAAAAAAAAATATTTGGTATCTAGGTTAGGTTAATATCACACTTCTCTCTTCAAAATCTCCTTTGGAAACTATTATTTGACCCAAATGAGTCAGATAATTTCTTAAAATGGCCTCCAGCTGCAAATATGAGTCTCAGTGTTATACTGGCCACTTGACTTTCAGGGCTGACAAGAGAAAACTCTCCAGCCCAAGGGAAAGTCCCCTGTTGAAGGGAGAGGCCAAAATGTAGTGGCAGTGCTAAGGTAAAGCCTCTGAGCTGGAGCGCACATGCAATCTTAGCAGCAAAATGCAGTAATAAGGATCTCATAATGCAGGAAGAGATCCAGAAAGATCCAATTGCTGCCTTCCAATCAGGCAGTACACGAGCACGACATTCTCTATCCCAGGGAGAAGCCTGGACCCAGGGAGAAACCCTAGGTCGAGAAATGGAGATGGTCTTGCTCTGAGTTTACACGGTGACCAAGCAAAGTCCAGAGCCTTCACTTTCTCTGAGGCTCTAACAATGCACCTGTGCTCATTTTCTTGTTGCCAGCTTTTTCTCTTCATCTATTTCACTTGACATTAAAGCAGCCTGCAGGCAGTGACCTCTCCATCATTCCTTGGCATTGAGCTGCAGGGTCAGAGCTTGGCTGTTCCCCACACCAATACAATGTACAGATAGTCCATTTGACCAGATGCAAAATAAAAATAAAATCTCTCACTATATCTAACAATTGCTCCTGTCATTACAGGACAATGTTTATTGAAGAGCATTTAAATTGCTCTATAGATAAGAGCTCAGCACAAAACAGAGTATGAATTAAATATTTATCATTTCTATGGCACTCATGGAAATATATATATCAGGGATAGTTAAAATGTATCTAGGCAATCATATTTCTAGACAAAAATAGTTCAAGTTCCTCTTTTTAAAACACATGCACATAATACACACAGGAAAAAGAAAATGAAAAAATAAACAAATGCAGTACTAACGACATTTCTGACCCCTAAGCAAACATACCATAATTTATTGATTTTGGTGTTTTATCCCCATAATAAAGCTGTCATAGCTCAAAAATGTCTCTGGAAGCCCCTCTGGAATCATCTTTTGGCCTGGGACAGTTTTACTTTAACTTTCTCAAACATTTTTTGGGAATGAGTGTAATATTTAAATAGCTCTAAGGCACTTGAAATCTACTGATGAATAGGATGGGTAGTTTGAGAAGGAATATGAATATTTTGGGACTTAGAGTAACACATGGGATGTACATCAGGAAGCTTTAAAGATTAATAGCTTCCCTCAAATAAAGGCACACAGCAATTTACAGGGAAGAGTCAAACCTACTTGACTTTATGAACTAAGAAAGAATGTGTGTTTTTAAAAAGGTAACATCTTACTATATCATTTAATAATTAGATTATCAAGTTTATGAAATCCAGTTTATGTAAGCTCCTACCTACAAACAAAGTATTGGACCAAAATTCTTAAAAATCTTTATTTTTTGAGCAGGCTTAACATGTCCTTTCTTCCACATATACACAAAGTTTGTTATATGTGTTATTTAATTAGCTTCACAAACACCCCTGGATACAGCTAAAAGGTAATCCAATCAACCTGAATTCCTCATTAGGCTTGACAGAAACCATGATTGTTATTCAGACTCAACTTGCACATTCTGCACCCAGCTCTGAAAAGCTCACAGGAAGCTCAACCCAGAGCACTACCATCAATATTATCATCTTGTGGCAACATGAAATTAGCTATGATTTTTTTCAACAGATCTTTCATAAAAATACTTTCTTCACTTTGGTGTTTTAAGAGCTAATATCACTTTCCAAAGCCACCAAAACACATCTCCCTATTATGACCACTTCCCTCTTCTAGGCCTCGCCATTCATAATGTCTTTCCTCCGCCTCACCTAAGACCAGGACTATATGCAGTATCACACTGGGAGAGGTAGAGAACATTCTTCCTTTAAACTGAGATAAACTGCCAAGTTTCCTTAGCTTGTCACAGGCAGAATCCAAAATACAACCCAGGTCCCTTAAATCCTGGACTGTGGCTTTTTGGCTGAAATCTCATCCAAATCTGTGAGAACCTGGGGATTAAGTCAGATATCCCAATCTGCCTTGGATAAGCAATGAATGGTAGATGTTCACAACAAACTCCACTAAATTTTAATGCCTTCTTATTTTGCATAGTTGAAAAAACCAGAAACCTAGGCTCTCTTACAGCTAGTATTCTAGTAGTGGTCAACTTTCTGAAAAGTGGCACTGAAGACCTTGAAGCAGGGAGTAAGCACACAGACAGATGTCATACACACAGCTCTTTTTGCAAGTGATGGTGAAGGCATTTGGTTTTATGGACAGATTTTGTGGAGGTTCTAGAGACTCCACTCCACTGTCATCTTTTCTCCCTCTTCCCCCCACCACATCAGGAATACCAACCTATGTAAGGTGGCTGGTGGCAAGGGATTCTACTGTCTTGTGGAGTACGTGGGTATTTCTCTAGATTGCTTTTCCTGTGGAAAAGCCCCAAATTTGGTTCCATGAGTCTCCTGGAAAATGCCATAAACTAACTAATTCCTTCTAACAAATCCCTTTGCTGCTTACACTGCCTAGAATCAATCACATGAGCTGATTCTGACCTCAAAGAAGAACATTCTGAGAAAATGTTCAAAGGACAAAAAGGTCATCTTTTAGGTGGTCGAAGACCAAGCACCATAAATATTCAACATTTAGCCTCTTCATTTACCCAGGATGGGTCTTGCTGTCTCCTCATCTATTTCTGTCACCACAAAAGTCCAAGATGTACCTGTCATCTTTATTTATCTGGTCTCCAAATCCCACGGTGTCGACGATGGTTAACTTCAGCCGTACATTACTTTCCTGAAGCTCATAACTTCTGGCTTTTAACCGGACACCTGGTTCATTGTGAGTAGCTGGGTCACTTTCAAATTTGGTGTTGAATAAAGTGTCCATTAACGTAGATTTACCAATGCCCGTCTCACCTAGGTGACCACAAAGGAAAAATCAGAGAAAGTGTCAATGCCTCTCAAACAAGTGATGAAGCTCACTGCAGCAGCAATTATAATAATCATATTGTAAAATTTTTTTGTTAGTATCACCCAAAATCCCACCACAAAAAGATAATTCATTAGTTCTTTCTATGTGTGATCTGAGAAATACCTCCCTAAAGATGAGTTCATGAACTTCAGAAACTATTTTTAGCAAAAGATCAACAACTTCAAGATGTTCCTTCTCACTTCTGGATAAAGATCAAAACATGCAGGCTTGCCATGGTCAATTTGTACATTCCTCTCCTAAATGTTGGTGTATAAAACTATATTACTTTTAAAATACTACATTGATGAATTGTTGTTACTAGAAGAAAAATGACTGATTCCGTTGGAATTAAATTATCTAACACCATCTAAATTTTAACACTCAACAATAACAGCAACAAACCCAGCTGAAGTTAATGAGCGCTTACTTTGTGTCAAGTTCTGTGGCAAAGAGTTCCCACACATCAACTCGGGTAAACCCTGGTACCACCTCATGAAACGGGAGCTACTGTTCCCTCCATTTTACAGATGGGGCACTAGGCTTAGATAAAGTTTAAGAAACTTGCTTAAAGTTGCACTGAGTGGCAGATACAAGGCTCTAACTCAAGTTCGTGTGGTTTTAACACCTACGCTAAACCACACAGCATCCTGACTACTATTACAGAAGAAACTACTGCCTCATATTTTCCAGGTATAGTCACAAATCTGAATAAATCCTTTATATTATCTCCATTTTCATTCTCTGTTTAGCTGGAGTTGCAAACATTTGCTAGTTTTCCCAGTTTCAGGGCAGTATCTATGACAATGAAACCAAATAGTGCTAAATAACCTGCAACAATAGTCTTATTAAATCATATTAATAATTCAAGTCAATAAGCTTTTACTGAGGCTCTAATATGCACAGATGGCAGGACCTGGTAACACCACCGATCAAACGGTGAGACCCACATATGCAGTCATCAAGAAGTTCAGCTTGACCTTCAAAATATGGTCAAAAAATTCTCCCTTAATTCTAATTCTTATTTTGACTGAAAACTAGTTTGCAACTAGGAAGTTCCCACCCTTGTCTATGGTGGTGGTATGATGGTGGTTTGATGTGTGATGATGGAAAGAGGAAAGTAGAGATCAAAGACCATTATCCACAGGGATGCCTTAGTTTTTCAATCTGAAAAAATTCCAAATTGGATTTCCAGCTCACTTTAAACATACGAAAATAGTGCATCTCTTTCAACAAATCCCAATTCCATGGTGCTTCTAGGAACATTCTTTCTTCTACACAATTGTCACAATGAAATGGGATGGTGACAATACCACAGGAAAACAAGCTCTGGGATTTGCAGTTTTAGGAGAACTCTCCCACTTTCATGAATAAATTTACTTACTAATTAGAAATTCAAATTACTTACTGCTTTCCAGCATAATGTAGAAGTGAAGTAGGATGGAGTCTCTCTGTATATGAGCTTCCTCTAGTTAGAAATCTTACGTGGTTTGCCACTGACTAGAGTGATTCACTTATATGATAGAAGTAATACAAGTACATTTGCCTTACTCTTTAACCTTTCTCACCATGATACACCTAAGATCACAGAATTTTCTTCTTTATCATTCAACCAGTAATTTTACTAGAGCCACTCTGTACAAAGTTCTGTGCCAACCTCTGGGAACAGAACAACACACTAGCCTGATAGGGTGGTCTTCCATAGCTAGAATCCAACTGGAACATGACCAAATACCAACCAAATTCAATTTATTATTTTGGGACCAGTATTCCAGGTGTCTGCCACAACCACAATCCTCTTATGAGCAAGACCATGCTTTATATGCCGTGACCATGCTAGTGACCACAAGTATCTGGAGCAGGCCAGGCCCCTGAACAAAGGCACCCATGCATGTTCAATGATTGTGCTCTGAGTCAGGGAGTGGCTCCATAGGAGACAGCGATCTGTCTATCCCAGCAAAACTTCTCTCTTTGGGAGTTTGAATGAGATATACAATACACACAATGTGATGGCATGGAAAAGGAAAGATGAACAAAACTGTGAATAAGCAGAAGCCAGGCAGCAGGAGCTGTCTAAGTAAACAGAAGACATGTTGTTGATAAGCCATTAGCTGGGAACATAGGAGAAAGCAAGCAAACAAATACAGCAGAGCTTAGTATTGGAGATTCATTCATCACTAAGAAACTTAAGTGTATTTCAGTAGATCCGCCTGTTCTGCTCCCCCCTCTCTCTGGTGAATTCTTTCACCCCCACACCTCTGGCCTGCACCCCAGCTCTTGTATGCATAAATAAAATAAATCTTTAAAAAAAAATGATACTTGGAATCAGGTAAATAATTCAATCCTGAAGGTACTGAAGTTATTTGTATTCTTTTTTTTTTTTTTTTTACACTTTAAAAGGATAGGTTTATTAGGAAAAGGAGAAAAAGAAAGGCACTTGCATAGTCACAGGTGGGCTGGACAACTGCTGAAGTTATTTGAAATACCTGATACAAGCGTAACTTTCTCAAACACAGCAAATTTCTTTTTTTAAAAAAAGATTTTATTTATTTATGCACACAGGAACTGGGGTACAGGCCAGAGGTGTGGGGGCGGTGAGAGGATTCACCAGAGACAGAGTGGGGAAAAGAACAGGCAGATTGACTGAAATACACTGCTCAGAGGAGCAGCGGGCAAGTCAGGAGAGGTCTGCTGCACTATGTGGGTCCCCTCCCTGGCTGGGGATCAAACTTGTGCTGCAGTGGCTACTGATAGCTTCATAGGTTGTGTCTCAACCCCTTGCGCCACCAGGGAGGCCCCCACAGCAAATTTCTTTTCAGGATTCACCTATTTGGGGAATATGGACAAAGTGACAACAGCAGCACTACCGTTTACAACCCTCTCCATAAGGGCCCTGAAAGTTCTTGGAATAGAGTGACCCATCTAACTTCCATCTTTCCCCCTAAGAAGCACAATTTAACATGGCAAAGACTCTAGGACAGGACTGAAATCACCACCTTACCTTAGTAGGTTGAAATTATTTAAGAACAAGTGATTAGGAACACCATGGTTGATTTTTTTTTAAAAGCAAACATAATTTTAATCATCATTTACATTAAAGTGGAAATTATGCACAATTAGCATTCCAGGTCCTACTTACAGAACAGGGTTAATCAAAGGGTTGGAAAAACCACTATTCCTCTAAATCTCAGAGTGCTCTGCTTTCGATTTCTATGGCCTGTGTTTTCAAAAGCCACAATTACACACAGCTACTCTAGTAGCTGTGTGGATTGTCCAAAAGCAGTTCAGTAAGAAATGACAGTTTGGGGAATAAAAGGATTTACAGAACTGGGGTTGGGGGGATTCTTCAATGCATTAGTTGGGGAGGTTTCTCTCTAGTCTCAGAAAACAGGACATTTTCCATAGCTTTAAGGATCCACAAGAGCAAAAAGACTTTCCAATAGAGTAACTTAAAGCCTACTAGGCATATATTCAAATCAAATGCCTTGACAATATTTTGAGAAAATTAATTACTAACACCATCTTTGAAATATTACAAAACTCCCTAGCAAATTACCTGGAACAGTGTATACATTTATTAAATTAATTAAGAATAAAAATGACCACGGTGAACATTTATACTGAAATTTGCCACCTTGGTAGATCTTTCAGAATTTGTTGTTTGTTCTATTATAAATTCATCTGCCTAAATACTCAGTTGTCAGGATAATTAGAGATTTACTCTGAAGTACTATTGGTGGCTTCTTTTATCCTGCTCCTGCCAATGCTGGTGAACATGACCCCATATCCTAGTAGAAAGCAGTTCTACCTCTTCCATTCTAGTCTCAGTCTTATTTTTTTTTTAAGTTTTATTTATTTATGCATATAAGAGCTAGGGTTTAGGTCAGAGGTGTGGGGGGTTACAGGATTCACCAGAGACAGAGTGGGTAACAGAATATGCAGATCTACTGAAATACCCTGCTGAGGGGAGCAGCAGAGGACGAGACAAGAGATGTCTGCTGCTCCATGTGGGTAGCTCCCTGGCTGGGGATCGAACTCGTGCTGAGTGGCTGCAGATAGCTTCATAGGTGGCGTCTTAACCCCTTTCGCCACCAGGGAGGCCCCTAGTCTCAGGCTTATTTAAACCACCAGCTCTAAAATAAACACTGAGGGAAAAGAAGGATAATATTATTAATTAGAAGGTAGCTATAGACTGATCAAATAGTTGACTACAATTCAGCATCTTTTACTCTGACCAAGACTGGCTACTTGGATAATTATCCAAGTAATTGCTGCCGCCTTCTCTAAATACTCTAGATTTAATTCTTGGACAGAGCCAGAGCTGTGTATCTAAACTGTGTTGTTTTGACTCTTCAAATAATTGTTTTTGATGAAACATTTTCCATAATTCCACCCAGCCTGCATGACAGACTTGAAAGGACAGCACTGGACACTTGGCATGGCCTGGATCGACCACACTGATTTGGTGGAGGGATGTGGTGGCATCCGCCATATCTCTTTTCTGAAAATCCACGGGAGAAATTTTTTCAGGTAAAACTGTTTCATCTGGAATATTTTGCTCTAACTCTACAGAAACTTTAAATCTGTCATTGCTAAACTTTTAATTTTTGTTTGGTACATAATATGTGTTCAATAAATATCTGGTGAATAAATGGATTCCTCTGTCCTCTCAACACGCTGAGAGACAACTCTATCCCTGATAGAGTTCATGGCTCTATGCAGACCTGATGGTAGGCTTTGCACTTTGGTTTTTTTTTTGTTTTTTTTTTTAAAGATTTATTTATTTATTTGTTTGTTTGTTTGTTTATACAAGCACTGGGTACAGTCAGAAGTGCAGGAGGGTGAGAGAATTCACCAGAGCCAGAGCGGGGAGCAGAGCAGGCAGAAGGACCGAAGTACACTGCTGAGGGGAGCAGCGGGCGGCAGGAGAGGTCTGCGCGCCATGAGGGACCCTCCTCCAGTGGCCGGGGAGCAGCCGGGGATCGAACCGGCGCCACAGAGGCTGCGGGCAGCTTCGCAACCCAGCGCTCAACCGCTGCGCCACCGGGGAGGCCCTGCACTTTGGTTTTGCTTTGTTTTCTGGGGTTAAATTTCTCTTTATTTGCTTGCTCATCCATTTCACCCTGTAAACTACTTAATGACCTGGAAAAACAAGATAGGATAAAAATGTTTAAGACTGGATTATAAAATTCCACAGCTTATTTCAGCTTTGACAAAAAGAAATCTTAAACTCATCTGTTTTCTATTTCTCTTCTTTTACCCCCTTAAAAAGTGTTATGGCTGAACTATTTTAAAATTTTCTATTATCAAAAGGTATTTTTCTTTTATTTTGATCCTACTATTGAATTGTTTCCTCTTCAAAAGCAAGTATGTCACTGTGCTTTTTTTATCTTTGTAGGTGCACAAAGAACCAAAAAAATACAGCAGGATCAATGTTAAAGTTTCTCATGGAGCTAGTGCCATTTTGGAAGATGAAGGAGAAAAATAGATACATTAAAAACTGTAAAGAAAGACCGAACAATAATTCAGATTATTTGGAGAATTACAGCATGGAAAGAAAAGGTTTTATTTAAACTAACAGCAGCTTTGGGGATGATTTAATGTGTTAGAATCAAGATGGAGAGTGAGGCAGCTATGAACTTCTGGATGTCCTATAGCCCAATTTAGCATCAAGAGTCCTTTTTCAGGTTAAGTGAACACTTCTTTCCTCTCTATTACATTTTTTTCTAGTACTCAACAGATATGGGTTCTAATAACAGACATTTAATTCAGTGCCTCTAAAACTAGACCAACCTCAGGATTAGTTTCTGTCCTGGTTTATTTCCTCTATTTGCAACTTAGAGGCTCTTGCCACTAGAGCAAATTATGATTCTAATACCTTCCTGATAAACATCATCAGTTTCCTTTATTAGGATCACAGCTCTTTTTTATCAAGTTTCCAATGCCTTTTTGCATTTATCACTTGAAAATTAAGTAATGATGCTAAAAAGACCATGACATCTACATACTGTATGAAAAACATACCAACGGACAGTAAGATGACAAGAAAAAAAGCACCTTGAATACTCTTAAGTAAAATATGTCACCTACTCCTCTAAGTAACTGTCAAAATATTTTGACTGGCTAGAACACTTTTGCATAGATTCTTACTTTAAAAATAGATGGCCCAATAACTGATGGTGAGATATAGAAATTTGCTGTAAAATACTTGTGATAAAGGAATTGAGGATAAATAAGCTCAATGCTTAAGCTGAGGCCCTTATTCTCCTGAAGAGCTAATGCTGACTCTAGACAGGTATGAAAAAGAACCTGGAAAACTACACATACTGGCATGGAAGGACAGCCAGCATATACTGTGAATGAAAAAGAGGAAAAATCAGAAGAATATGAGCATTATGACCTCATTTGTATAAAAACAAAACAGTGCTTGTGTAACTGTGAGAGAGCTGTTGGTCCCTGGCCAGTGTATGTCTCCTCATGCCCTACCTCCTCTCTGATAATCGCTTCCTCCCCATAGGGAGTCTCTTGTGACTTGTGGTGGACTAGTTCATCGCCTACCCTGCGTGGGCATGTGGCTGAGGCCTGGCCCGTCAGCGACATCCTGTGACCATTCGGTGAGAACTGGCACAAGTGGTCATTCTTTGCTCAGGGGTTGCTAAGTGGGCAACATTGCTGGAGGTCATACTTCCTCCCTGAAGAAAAGGCCGATCATGAGGCCAACAGAAGCAAGCAGGCTAGAGAGCCAGAGACAGTCCTGAAAACAGTTCACTCTGAGCACCAGCTGTTCTTAATGATAAAATTCAATACTATTACATTTTCCACATGTTTTGGGGTTTAGGAAGGGTCTTCACTGAATTTAAAACTAAAAATCCTGTAATTCTTTTAGGAATTTTTCTAATACAAGAATGGGAAGAGAGAGATGTGATGATGCAGGCTTTGAAGATGGAGGATAAAGCGTCCCAGGATCAAGGCATACAGGTAGGTAGACTTAAAAGCTGGGAAAAGTAAGAAAATGTATTCTCCCCTAGAAGTTCCAGAAAGGAATACAGCCCTGTGGATACCTTGATTGTAGCTCAGTGAGACATGTGGGACTTCTACAGAACTGTAAGATAATCAGTGTTGTTTTAAGCCACACAAAATAATATTCAAGTACAAAAAGATGTAGGAGGTTTCTAGAATTCCATGGTGTTATCTCTATGGAGTGGAAATGGGGAGGGAGGAAGATGCAGTCACAATATTTTTTAACAATAAATATGTATTGTTATTAAAACTAGTTTTAAACAGTTTAATGGAACTAGTTTTAAACAGTTTAATGGAACCAGAGTAAAAAGCCAAGAATCAGGCATTAATTATCACCATCCAGACAGAGAAGAACAGCGGCTACTTTACAAATCCAAAAGAGCAACCCGGATGTAGCTTGTGAACTCCAACTAGCAGCATCACTTGCTATTGAACAAGAGGAGTGAGCCAGTGAGCCTACCCACCACCCCCACCCCTACACCACCCCTCCCCCACTCCATGCACACCACACACCTATCAAACCAGGCACTCCCAGCAAGCCCAACCTCACTGGAAGGCTTTACCCTACTTGCAGACACAATTCTCATGTGTTTTCTTGCAGCTGATTTTGGAGACAAGGCTGGGGGAGGCTGGGAAGAGAAGCCAGAATAGTAATTGGCCTACAATTTAGCACACTTTTCAATAGAAAAATCAACAAATTGCTATGCTAATGAAGAATTGCCCCTTTCTGCAATAAGCATAAGAGAAAAGACAACTCATTTATGCCACTCTGTGGAACCCACTGGCATTCAGGAGGTCCCCTGCTGAATTTTAAAAGGTCTCATGTAGGGAAAGGGGAGAAGCATGAGAGCTGGCTGCCCAGGGCACGTTTCTTCCAGTCATTCTCTATTCAGTGCTTAAGACAGAGAGGGAGCCATTGTGGCGTGCAGGACAGCTGTGGTTCCCACTAACAGGCGTCCAGTGCAGTGGCTACATTAATATTTTCTTCCAGAATTTTTTTAAAAAGGAAAATTGCCACCTTCCCGCCCAATAACTAACTAAAAGAGTGGCTCTTAGAAATGCACACCTTTTCTAAATTGACTTCATTTTACTCGTACAAGAAAAGTAAGTGGAAGGATGGTCCAGACTTAGTGGAAGGATGGTCCTTTTGTCTACAAACAGAAATACATTATTCCTTTCCTTTTGGTCTGTCTCAGAAGGACATGCCTGGAGGACAAGGACAACAGAACAGCACACCTCAGCCACTTCTCTGATGTCTAGCCCAGACATTAATCAGGAGTGACAGGAAGGTGAAGGAAAAACCGTCCTGTGTTTTTCTGCTTCAAACCAAAAGATTTACATCCCTCTTTTCCACCTCTTTTTCTACCTTCCTCCTCTTAGTTTAAAAACGACATAGCTAGAGAAGAAAAGGAGTCTGAAGGCCAGAGGTCTTGACTAGTGTATTAATATTTAAAGGATATGAGTAAAACATACTGAGAATGCAAAGACATCTGATATCTTTGACCTTTTTGATTTAGCTACCAGGAATAAACTAAGGTCAGTTTTAGAGTCAAATTTAAGGACAAAGGTTAGTTTAATAATTCAGGCAGAGCATGTATTTTAACTAAAAAATACAAATTTAAATTGTCTTTTGCTCTGAAAGCACAAATTTTAAACATTAGTTTATTATAATCCAGTTGTTTCATATTTTACTTATTATAGGTAGCATATCTTTAAAAAGATTTCAGTGGAGATTACTATTGTACTGTAGTCAGAGACCTTAAAATAAATTCTTAAGATGTTTTTGAACAATCATACCACACACACACACACTCAGGTCTTTCTTTCAACTTCCTATAATCTAGTTAGGATCTAAGTCCCTCCACCCCACTAAAAAGTGTTTTGATAACAACATTAAACTAAGCATTTGCTTAACTCTATGACATCAATAAAAATAATTTGAGTAACACCCCAAAGCTTACAAAGCATTACGCAAATACAATTCTCAATCTTGTGACATATACAGAATGGGTATTATTGTTCTGATGAAACGGAGACTTGACTGATGAAAAAGAGAGTAAAAACATCTTATTACCCTAAAGTATGCTTATTACCCTAAAATATGCTTCTTGATAGTCACACCACCACTATGGACCAGACCCCTGGCTTGTTAGCAAATGCTGAGTCACTTACCAACACACAGGATGTTGAAACAGAATCCTTGTGAAGTAGACTTGTTGACCAGCTGGTCAGGGAGACTGTCAAATCCAACATGGCCAGAAAGTGACAAGTTTCGAAGCTCTTCATTCTGCAATTTCAGAGGGGAAATATTTGAGAACCCAGGAACTATGCCAACTCAGTATCACACATTACAGACATTACCTCTACCTTTCTCTCTTCTTGACGTGCATGGAAAAAGATTTGTCCTATATCTTACCCTCTTCGACTTCTATACGACTGAAGATATGAATGACTCCAAAACCAAGTTCTTTCCACAAATTATACTAATTCCCAAAGTTGACTGCCATCCACTGTATCTTATTTCCAATTACAAGTGTTATGGTCCAGGGATATTTGAGGTCCCACAGATGGCAATTTCAAATATGCATTAAGTGACATAAAACACTCCAACCATTTTGAAAGCTTCCAACACTCAAGAGAAATTTTTGATTAACTTTCAACTCAGAGTAACACTTCCAGATTCCTGAAAGAGCTTTAAGAAGCTCCCAGCAGAGAATATGTACTTGTCACAATCACAGAAATTCTAAATTCACCACAACGCAACATATTTAAAACTATTAATTGGAACAAGCATCTTGGGACTTCCTAGCTCTCTATACCGCCACCCCAGCTCCTAGCACAGGTTCTGTACCCACTGGGCCTTCTTAAAGTTTATTGAGGGAATGGGGTAAGGTAGTTATCACACATTTTAAAACTTGGGTGATTTATGCTGCCTTATTAGATGGCTCTGACTGCCTCCATGACTTTGAATGCATTCCATGGGTGCTGGAGATAATCTTTGGAAACTCTTTCCCAGAAAAACAAAGACCAGCTATGGTCCTTCAATTACAACCATTGTTATTGTTTGGGATTCCAGAAACTAGATATTGAAAGCCTTCTTGAAGTCTTGACAAGAGTCCTGATGGTCTGGCTAGCCTGCCAATGAACTTTATATTCAAAATACTTAAATTGGGGTGAGAAAGTGAGCCTCAAAGTTGCCACTTAATTTAAAAAATTGAAGAGTTTCTCACAGGATCACTTAAGACCTTTAAGGCCGGTTTTCATTTTCCTTCTATTTATGTTATATAATGATGAGAATGACTTCCTTTAATAATCAGACTAAGACTATTTTAAAAATTGCTATGTCACTCTATAGGCAAAGAAATGTCCTATATAGGCATTAAAATCACTAGGTGTAGTGGCTTTAATGGAGTGTTTCATGGACAATATAATGTCTAAGGTCCTTGCCAGCTGTAAAATCTGATTCTGTGAAATAAGACTAAAAACCACTACACTAACTGAATACTATGGCGGCAGCTGCAGGTTTGGGATCAATGGGACAGAGAACAGATGCCTAGTCTATGAATAGTTTCCTTCAAACCTGCCAACAGTGAAGATGAGACTCAAGAGTAGGCACTTATCCTTGAACAGGATGGCATGGCAGACAGCTCACCAAACAGCTTTGGGACCCGCCCCAGTGGGCACCAGTCCGGGTGGCTGCCCAGGCCTCCCACCACCACCACACAGCCCAGATTCTAGTACCTGCCCCTGGCTCTTCGGATACCTCAAAGGTTCAGACAGCAGGTATTTTTAGGGTATTTACCACATCCGCCAAGAGGAGGATTTGAAATGAGTCTGGGTTATATTTAGAACTCTTTCCATCACAGCTGTGCAGTGGCTGTTGTATATCGGGCAAGGAGAAGCCACTACGCCAGGCTCCTTTTCTCTGCATCACTGACTGAGTCCAGGGCACGAAAGGAGTCAAAGCAAGAAGAATCATCCTCCTATAGCCCCTCTCCTCTCTACCACAATAATTGTTTTAATTCCCAGAGGGAGAAGGGCAAGTGGTTTATTGCTCTGGATTCTGGATTGTTGGGTTTTTAGATTCAGATATCCACCCAAGAGCCAATCCTGGGGTAGAATCAGTTAGTAATTATAGCTCTCATCCCAGAATCCAATGCTCAGCATCTCATATTCTCACCATTTCCAAAACATGAGAAACCACCCACACACCCACTGAGTATTTTTATACCCACTGAAAACCACACAGAGAATGAAGGGTTATGAAATATTTTAAATTTAAAGTTATGTCTTCGGAGTTTCTGTTCTCTAACTTTGCGGCATAAATTTGATAAATTTTATTCTGTAATTTTTAAATTTCATAATTTCAGCCTAATCTTCTATATACTATTAAGGGAATCCTGAGTTCCTGCCCATCAGTGTGTGATGGGAAAAGCTCATGAACACGTTTAAAAACTGGGAAGCACTGTAGGAAATGCAAGTATAGGCTCTAAGTCACACAGTAACTGAACTGAATCTATACACTCCAACAGTTTGTGGTACCACATTAATTATTTCTTGCCTTAGCTGTCTCAATCCAAAGAATGTGGGTCTCTTTTGAATTCTCACATATTCTTTTATTTATTTATTTGTTTGTTTGTTTGTTTTTTGCATAGAAGAACTGGGATGTAGGCCAGAGGTGAGGGGAAGGGGGGTGAGAGGATTCACCAGAGACAGCGTAGGGAGCAGAACATGCAGATTTACTGAAATACACTGCTGATGGGAACAGAGGGTGAGACAGGAGGGGTCTGCTGCACCCTGTGTGGTTAGTTCCCTGGCTGGGGATCAAACTCAGGCCTTAGTGGTGACAGTGCTGACACTTAACCCCTAGGCCAACAGGGAGGCCCTATTCTTAAATCTTTACTACTATCACACATCTGGAAATGACTCTCAGAATTTTACCTCTAATACTAAACTCTTTGCCGAGTTCCAGCTTTGAATTTCTATTAAAGGGGCAATTTTCTTGGGTTTTCCTATCTGTACCGCAAACTGATGTTCATGAAACTAAAATCATCTCCCTCTACTCCAAACCTGCCTCTGCTCCAGAGTTTCCTGTTTTTGTTAAAGGTACTGCCTATGCATGAGAGCTGCCCACCCCTTCATTAATTCCAAAGTGTCCTCAGTGCCACATCCACTTCCTCTCTATTTCTAATTCAACACCCTCCTAACTCCTTGCCTTGATACCATTCTCTCTAATCCTTTCCCCTCTCTGCCTTGATACCAAAGGGATCTCAATACTCAAAGATTCTTAATCCAAACCCCTGGGTCTGCTATCTCATGGCAGGTTTGGGGGTAAACGCAAATCTCCATTTCCACTGACTCACATCTCCCCATGAAGCACCTTATACTGTAGTTAAACTGAATTATAGCAGGTCTTTGAATATTGTTTTTTTTTTGACATTGATAAGAAAAAAGAAATCCCAGCCAACACCAATCAAAAGGCCATTATTCCAGGACCTAGTTTCATTAAATGTCAATTCGCTTAAAGTCATAGTTTCCAAGAACCTATTATGGCAATTAGTGAAGACTTACTGTATTCCTGAGACAACACCAAACTTCTCCCCATCACCTTTTGCTCACATGATTTCCTCTATCAGGAAGAGCCTTACAACCAATGTTTATATAGCCAAACCTTCCAAATCTCAATGAAATTTTATCTCCATCTTTGTCATTTATATACTCTCAGGGAGAATTGCAGTAAAATTTCTTTCCCCTTACCTGTTAAAGGAAAACAATGATTGGATCAACATGGTTTAAGTTATTTAGTATTCTATGATCACTATCATAATAGCCAACATTTGTCAACCATTTCCAATGTTCTAGAGAAGTCCTAAACATGAATGAAGTAGTTAATTAATTTCAACAGACAGTTACTATTACCAACCAACTAAAACTTACAGATAAGAAAATGGAGGCACAGAAATTTAGTAACTTGCCCAAGGGTCATTCGGCTAGTAAGTTGAAGAGCTGAAACATGAACTGAGGAAGTCAGGATCCAGAATTCTGAGTCCTCACACTTAGTCACAGTTATCTCAAGAGGATCTAAGCTCCTTAGGTCAAAACAATACAGTAATTTCAACTGCAATGAAATCTAATACATAAAGAAAAACTATTCTCTAAAATCATAATTCTGTAACAACCATAGAAGTAGAAGTCAGAGATAAGAACTGGCAAAGTAGCTCTAAATATATTTTTCTGGCCATGGCAATGCCAAGATCAGACCTCAATTTCTGTGGCTATGGCACAGGAAGCCATTAATATAAGGCTTAGTTTTGACTTGTTTTTTGTTTGTTTGTTTGTTTGTTTGTTTGTTTGAACTAATAATGCCAACACAGAGCCACTAAGTAAGTAAATATATGACCTTAACCGATCTAGTCCTCTACTTGCTTATCCATTTAGGAAGGGGTTAGACTTAATGATCTCTGTGCCTAATAAAATGGGTTATAACTAAATTCTATGGTATAAAATAAAATAACCAGGCAACCTCATTTTTCTCTTTTCAGAACATCTCCACATGGATACAATTATTTATTGGTTCATTCAAAAATACTAATTGCTCAAAGCCTAAGGAAACAAAAACAGGCTATTTTTGTTACTCATTGATAAACATCATTCCTTGCCTTTAAGGGCTTTACAATGTAGCAATAGATAGATTGTAAGCAAATGTGATACTACTACTATAAAGAAAAGTGATAAAAACCGTGACTTTAACTATGGAATGATACAAAAAAATTTCCTTTTGGCAAAGGAAATTTAGAGGGTATCATTTTAGGAAGGCTGAAGTGCCTCCAATTCTACCAGGGAAATGAAAATCTAGCTTGCCTTCTAAATACATGCTATCTACACCCAAAGGGTGACTTTACTATGAATATATACTTTGAAGTTTATAATCAACAAGTTTTTTTAGATGTCCATCTGACTTTATTATTGAGATATTTATAAAACAAATTATAAGAATGTGTGGCAACATCTGCATTCTGAGTTCTGCTTCAAAATGTTCCACAATACCAAATCCTACATAAGCAGAAGCAGACCAACAAAAGGTTCAGAACCGGATAGCCATGGACTCCAGCTTTGTTTCCTACTGACTTTAGTCCCTTTTCCTCCATTTGTAAAAATGGAGTACTTCGCAGGGTGCTTTGGACGAGTTAAGGAAATTCTATGTCTGCGAGTACCTGGACTCTCAGGAGCCCTGGGTTTCCTTTCCCTAAATTAGGTAAGAGGAAGAGATGGCACAATTTTAAAATC